TCTTCTTATTAAAATGAGTCAGTTTTATTTCGCTAAAGGTTGTTTAATGTTAATAATTTCATAAAGTTAGAATATGGATAAATCTCTATAACAACAATTCTTATAGCCTCTACATACAAATTATTTTCAATGTGAATCGAATGAGAATAAGAGTTGCACAAATACATTTGTAAGAAACAAGTTCGAGAAAACACACTTTCTTTTAAATAAGTAGAAATAGCACATGTTTAAAACAAAAAGTAATTTATTGGTATCTAATATTAAATTAAACGAATTAAGATGATTTACTGGCAATGACTTTAGAATATTACAACTTACTATAAACATAGTAAGAAAGAATAAATAAATATTTAAGTAAAGAACTTTGATTTACTCATAGATGAATCAAATTTGTAGGAATATGATTTAAACTTATGCAAATGAAAACAACAAGGAGTCAAGTGAATAAATACCCTAATTCTGCTCCATAGAGAGTCTCTCAAGAAATAGAAAGAAATGTAAATAACATTGAACATTTCATTGACATATCAAATGAGAAATATTGAAAAATCATGCCTGAAATTCATTAACAGTGTGTTTAAAAATTATAAATGAATGATCTGTGTAGAAGTTTAATGCTACAATTTTCAGCGAGAAATTCAATGTTGATGCATCTACCTCGAGTAGAATTCACCATTTACTAGCAGTATATAATCAGTCCAGCTGTTACATATGTGTAAATTACATGACATATGCGTAGATATTTTATTTATAGCATAACAAGCAGTATCCCTCACATCAACATGTATATGTACATCAATGGTTTCGTTATTTTTTGTTTCTTATGTCAATTTATATCAATAATTGTGTTGTTTTTGTCTCTAATGTCAAGGTGATAAATAAAATATAAATACAAAAACACTATAGCATAGGTATATTTATTATAATTGTTATTATATCTGTAAAGAATAATTAAAATTGTTTCAAACTGAAAACAAAATTAGAATACAATATATGTTGTTGATCTTTTTTTAACAAAATGGTAGATTTAACAAATTAACATTGGAAAAAGCCATATAGAATTGAATAGACTGAACATTGCTTGAACAACATGCAAATAACCACCACCTCTTTTATAGTGGTATGATCACTGTCTTTATTGCTAGTTATACACAATGCTGTAATGAGGCCTACCGATGTTTATGGCACACATTATATGTTGATGTTTGTTTGATGCTTGTTAAAGATTATTAATTTTATGAATAGTGTCAGTCTTTTACACGTTTTTTTTTCTTTGTATATAGTCACAACATTTTCAAATGCGTTGTGATTATCTAAAATAACTAAAATTTCAAGCTTTGTAACCACATATATTTACAAAGCAGTCAAATGACCTTGCCCAAACTAAAACAAACCAAAACGATTTCATTTTTCAACCTGTTTTATAATAACAAAAGATGCATGCTTCATTCTTTATACTGTAACTTTTGCTTTGCAACACAAGATTTTTTGTGTACATACAAAGTGATTTCATATTTAACATGTTTAAATATACAATATGTAAAAAAGTGTACTTCTTAGCTTTATAAATAGTACTGTAGAGAAAAAATTACGTTTAGGCCGACATGTGTGATGTGAAAGTAGGAAATGAAATGGTTTAATATCGGAACTATTACTACCACATAGCATCTAGAACAAAATAGAGACAGTACCAGACTGGTACAAATATGAACACTAGTTTTCAAAATAAAATATTATGCAAATTTAAAGATGAAAGATGAAAAGGATATTATACAATAATAAGGGTGCTTCAAAACAGCACATACACATAAAAGGCTTACACTTACCTAAATTATGGGTGTAATACATGTTTTATGTTAATGCTAGGGCAGTACATAGGTAGGTACTTTGTATCTATACGAAATGACTGGTGAAAATACGAGTTTTTACGCTCATTTTTAAAAACTAAAATCTGCTTTATACCCATTATCTTAAAGAAAGACATAAATAAATGATCATTCTATAAAACAGCTAGGCTGAGTTTCCTTCATCAGAATAAATATCATTTAAGAACATATATTCTAAAACATGTTTTAAGACAGATTTTAAAGGTATAAAAACAAGTAACACATACAATTTAATATAATTTGTTGTGAACACAGTGATTCTTAGACTAGCATAAAAATTCAAAATATCTATAAAATAAGGGACGTCAAAACGAGAAGTGCAAATATACATAATATATAATTTAAGTGTTCAACAGGGTATTACTGAACAATATAAACCCAACCTCCGTCAATAAAATAGAACTTAAATGGATCAACATATTTCATATCTGCTATATTTACATTTATTCAAATTAAGCTCCTCCCACATGTTTTAATTTCAGAGATTCCCTTAAATTTTATTCATCCTTAGGATTTCATTTTAGCGCTACATGTGTATAAAGCTAAGGGTTGTGTGATTTTGGGGGTTGTCCCCTTCTGCATGTCATTAAAGTTTACAGTTGAAGATTCAAAATGCTGTTGCCTGGCTGTTTTAAAAGAAAGAAACAAACAACCTTTTCATAGGATAACTATTTCTTTATTTTTGTACATGTATTATTTTTCATCAGTTTGTAGGTTTTTATATGTTATTTCTTTATCAAAAACAGTCTGACTATTTGTCTAGCTTTTTCCATTTCTCTACTGCCATCGACATTTGAAAACCTCTAACTGTGGTAATCTGTTCTCAGTTTTGATCTCTTCAGACAGCTGAAACCTCTCAGTGATTATTGTTGACCTGTACAACGGGTGGTTGGGAACAACAAAAAAGCAGGGCGGGAAATGTGTTGCATTAGGCAACGCTTCACATTAAACGTGTGATTGATAAGTTTTTTCAAGATTTTTTAAGCCCTTAAGGCATCAGATCATCATGCCGTTTTAGTGACAAATCTCGTCATCATTTTTGCACGTATTTTCTTTATTCATAATCTCTGTATCAGTGTTATTTCATAAAATGAAAATGGCTTTCTGTCGTACATGTTGAAGAGCAATCAAAAAAATACATCGCGAAAAAATATGTGGCAATAGAAAGTTTTTTTTCTGTTTTCTGTTAAAATAATAACTAATTAAGTTCCTGTTAACTCGATTGTGTAAAAGTCAATACATTCTGGTATCAAGCTGCATTGTTTTTCATCATCAATTGGCGATATAATGTGGCAGGGAAAAAAAAGAAAAAAAAAGAGAAATTTGCATTGTCGGTAGTTTTGAAGGTATCAACTTGAAGACAATTCTGAGGGTATTTGGCGTTTACTACAAGCAAAAATAAAAAAGTGGTTTTTAATATTTAATTAATATTTCTGAGATCAATGTTAGCTTTGATCACTCCCCAGTAACTGATTTAGGTTGAGGTGTGAAGCCGGCACTAAGAGGCTTTTCTTTTATTTATTATGCTACTGGTGCGCATTTTGTGCAGCGAAGAGAGGATAGACTGTCCCGTGGGAGTAAGCATTTAACTAGGGTATGGTACTGAAATATTTGAGTTGAAAACCCACCAGCAGTTTGAAAGTGAAGGCCGGGCAAGATTTTTTCTGTGTTTAAAGCTCAATCAGCTTTGTTGTGCAGCAAAGCAGAACGTCCTGGCAATATGCACAACAAGGGATGATACTGACCACTCCTGTGAAGTTGGTTGAAATCCCACCAATAGTTTGACATGTGAAATCCGAATAAAACTTTTCTATTTTTAACTCTGGAGGCTATTTTGTGCAGCGAAGAGGAAGGTACTGGCGATATGCACAACTAGGGATGGTACTAATCACCACTGTAATGTTTGGTTGATGCCCCACCAGCAGTTTGTCATGTGAAAGCCGGACAAGCTAAATGCGGACAGACGGACAACCTAACGGACGGACAGACGGTGAAGGCAAAAACAGTATGTCTCCCAAATATTTTTGGACATAATTATAAAAGAAACTGTTAACTGGTTGCAAGTAGATCAAAAAGTTGCGGATAGAACAATTCTGTGCTTAGTAATTCTTTTATCCTGCAATCGATTGCTGCACAATATATCATAGAAAATGATGTCTATAAAAAGAGAGAGAAAAAGAAGAAAATGTCAAGCTGTTTATCTCATGGAAACAACAAAGTTTACATAATAATTTACTGTGAACAAATATGTTAATGTTTTAGACCCGTTTTTGGGTGGGAGAGTCTTGAATTCCTGAAGGACTATGCCGAAGACATTACTCCGGCTCTCACCCTCTTGATCAACGGCTCTCTGCAACAAGGAATGGCACCTTCAACCTGGAAGAAGGCAAATGTATCATCTTCAAAAAAGGTGACCGCAGCAACCCCGCCAACTACAAGCCCATCTCCCTCACATCAGTATGCAGCAAACTCCTAGAACACATCCTACATAGCCAAATTATGAAACATCTTGACCACCACAACATCCAACAACATGGATTTAGAAAACAACGCTCAACTGAAAGACAGCTTCTTCTCACTCTTCAAGACATGTCATCAGCCTTGGATCAAGGGGAACAAGTAGATGCCATACTACTAGACTTCAGTAAGACGTTCGACGTTGTGCCTATCCAACGACTCCTTTCCAAGGTGGATCACTATGGCATCAGAGGGACATTCAGAAGCTGGATCGAGAGCTTCCTGTCTGACCGCAGCCAACAGGTTGTCGTTAAAGGCCACACTTCTGCATATGAGGTTTTTTTAAAAATGTTTTCATGATGTATACATGCAGTGGAAGACTTTCAAAAATCATTTAAATGACCATTATAAGTGGCATCGAGGTCCATTACCATGACTGGTAAAGTATATACTCGTACATGTATATTATGAAAGGAACGATGTTGGAAAAGAGTACCGAAAATCAAATTTTTATGTAGGAGGCCAATTAATCATCAACCAGTCCTCGCAGTTAACATTATTATCTGCTCTTAAATATTAATATACGAGGTATGCCCTGATCTTCACAATCAAGACAACGAAATTTACACTACCAGACTTAACTTTATCTTTCTGAATTTTTAAATACACACTGCTGTATCTAAGCGGTATACATATATGCAGAGATAGATAAATGATAGCAGTAGCATAATTTATACACATTTAATCTGTCTATAAACTTTAACATGACCAAGATGACATCTATCAGGAGTATACCAAGTCTTGTGGGTTTAAATTAAAACTGGCATTATTTGGAACTTCGCGTGTTAAAATAGAAGATGGATTATGTTTACCGCCTTAGAGAGACAACACCAGAGGATAAACAAGCTGTGTTAGAAATTCATAAAAACGTTTATGATGGACTGGATTACCTACCTGACTATTATGATCACTTTCAAACCAGCGACCACGTGACGCCATACATCTACATGGAGAATGATAAAATTGTGAGTGTTTTCAATTCGAAAATAAATATCATGTTAAAGACCAACTTAACTTCAAAAATTATCTAAAGCATATCTCTAATTAAATTAAGGATTTGTGCATAGCTTTTGGTTTCGCACTTTAGATAAGAAACACTTAAATCCATATGTGGCCAGAAAACAATATAGTTTTCCGCATCATAAAGGCGGTTTTCAAACGTAGATGTTTATAGATGCATTCACTGATTACGAGTTAACTTCTGATAAAATATCAAAATACCACTAAAGCTAGCATTTTTAAGAGTTTGGTAGCGAAACGTTTATATTAAAATACCTCAATATTTCTAGATTTCTTATACTCATATGTTCATTCATTTTTGGGTTGTTTCTCTCTTTCATTTTATTTTCAGATTGCATATTTAGCTTGTTGTGTAGTGGACAATGGGGAAACGATTGTAACAAGAGCAGGTCGAGTAAGTCCTAGCCGTCAAGGGAGGCATCTGTATGGCCATTTTATATCAGAAATAGAGACCGTTCAAAGGGCTGGTGGTAAAACTAAACGACATGCTCTTGTTAAAAGTACAACTCCATCGAATAGTTTCTTAAAAACCTACAAACCAGTGGCAGCAAAGGTACAGTTTTAATGGTAACATAAAGCAGACATGTTTAAAGCAAAAAAAAATCATTAATCCATAAAATAATAATTTATTTTGCCTACACGTACAGGTATTATAGTGCAGTATTAGCTATTGCAAAATCTTCATTTGTCTTCAACAACAAAATTATTTTTTGTGATTATACAACCTTTTTGAAGTGGATAACAGCCAGAAATAAAAAAAAACTTTATTTTGCAGGCAATACATATGTATGAATACGCCAATAGCGATGTGTCAATCAAAATGACAGAACTGATGTCCAAACTTTCAAAACTCAACTCTCATGCCAAAGCTTTAGAGACTTTTCCGGTTGCATTTCTACAATCTCCTTATTCTAAGTATTTGTTTCCAGAAGGACGTATTCTCGTAGACTGGGTACCGTTTCGTCTTTTACCGGCTAATATTCCTTTACTTAAAGGGCGAGACACAGTCTTTTATTCGGACATTACAAGTGAAACAGCCAGAGTTGATGATTTGAAAAACGGACACACTGATGAAACTGGCCGAATACAAGGATTGCTGTCTGCTTGCACTATCTTTAAAGCGCACCACGATTTAGACCTTTCTTGCAACTTGGACATTTTTGGGTTGGATTTTCGTTCTATTGAGAATCATATAAGTTTTCATTTACAACGTATATATGACACTGGTATGGACCATGTGAATTTACGAGTATATACATCAAAAACAGCGTGTGACATTTCTTTGTTACATTCAACACTTGAGCAGTTCGGAATACAAGCGGTAACAAACGGGACAAGAAAAGAGCAGTACATAGAACAGGTTGTTTATGAGAAAGATATTAGTAATTAAAATGTTTTAAATGCCATTAGATAATGTATATTACAGAGTTCCTGTGTAGTGATATATTCATTAGAAAATTCAGATTAGTTGCGATTTGTTTTGAATAAATAATCTGAATTTATCATTTTTACTAACAAATGTATAAATTTGAATATGCCGGCGCTCGTACTGTCGATATTTATTTCCGAGCGCCTAAAAACCAATTTGAAAATAATCAAAATATATAACGAAAGATATTTTGTGACAAAAATAAAATAATATTTGTTCATGTATTTCCTAGAACACAAAACAGGCATTCATTTTTCTTTCAAAAATTCAAAAAAAAGGAGTTGAATTAAGGTCCATCGCTTTTTTTTCTCGTACAAGTATTTAGAATGCATGGGACAATCGACATCAAATGCAACATCATCCAATTTTTCGAAATCGGATATATGGTTTTGCAAATCACAAATGCAATTTTGATATCTTATTTCGACGTCAACTTTTTTCTCCTCCTTTGTTGTCATAAATCTTAAATACATGCAGCTCCCGAGTCTTCACGGGGACTATCATTTGTTGTATTTACAAGTTCTCCAATAAAGTATACAAATTTCAAGTATGTCTTCGTTTTGTAGGAAAAATTATGTCATATCAACACTGTAAAGGGCATACGGCGACTTTCAAGCTCACTTTTGGAAAATGATTTTAGGTGCCCAATATTCGTTTTATATCATTGCGCAATCGAGCATTTAAGTAGAACTCTGGAGCTTCCGAAAACTCACAGGAAAGAACCCTCACATGAAAGTATCAAATGTTCCAAACGGGATTCGAACAGCTATGAGGGGCAAATACTTTTGAGCCCGCGACCTTTATCATTCGGCCATGGAGCCCCTAACTACTGGATTGTGTTTGGCGTTTGGAGCACATCAATGTAACTCAACACATCGAACATTTTTCATTTATTTTTTAAACAACATAGAAATTATATTAAAATATGAGGAACACTAAACTGTAGACATACAAGTTGAAAATGGTCACATGATCATTGAGATTTTATAAAAGGCTGTGTAAACAATGTGTGTGTCAGGGTAAATTGGACAAAATCTACATGTATAAAAGTGTATATGTGCAATAGCTACACCTATATGTGCATAGAAACCTTACACTCTAGCAACTTTAACAACTTAATGTGTCACTAACATACTCGCTGTAAAATACATTGTAGTACATGTCAAAGATACACACAATTTCTCGGATAACTCACTTTTGTAAACAAGAGGTCCATGATGGCCCTGAAATTGCTCACCTGTATATAGGCCCCCGGGGCAAGGCCAATTTTAACCCAAGGGCTTTTATTTGAACACACTTGGTATACACCCATTAGAAGATGTTTCCTGATAAACATCTAAGCTCTAGCTCTTTGGGGTTTTTAAAAGTAGATTTTTTAAGTTTTTACTATACACATATAGGGAAAAAGTATGACCATCCTGGGCGGGGCCAATTTTTACCCCAGGGCTTATATTTGAATAAACTTGGTAGACACTCACTAGAAGATATTTCATGCTTAGTATCTAAACTCTAGCTCTTTGGGTTATTTTTTAAAATAAGATCTTTTTTCTATACACATACAAGGAAAATCAATGATCCTTGGGTAGGGGCCCTTATTTGAACAAACTTGGTAGACACCCATTAGAAGATGTTTCATGCTAAATATCTTAGCTCTAGCTCTTTGGGTTTTTCAAAAGAAGACTTTTTAAGTTTTTACTATATACATAAAGGGAAAAACAATGACACCCTGGCGCAGGACCAATTTTGACCCCTGGGATTTTATTTGAACATACTTGGTAGTCACCAACTAGAAGATGTTTCATGATTAATATCTAAGCTCTAGCTATTTGGTTTTTTTTCAAAGAAGATTTTTAAGTTTTTACTATATACATCTAAGGAAAATCAATGACCCCCAGGGCGGGGCCAATTTTGGCCCCATGGCTTTTATTTGAACAAACTTGGTAGACACTGACTAGAGGATGTTTCATGTCAAAGATTTAAGCTCTAGCTCTTTCGGTTTTTTAAAAGATGATTTTTTAAGTTTTTTAAGTTCTGCATGGAATTAAATTCTTTGAACAATCTTTAAAAGTTGACTACCAAAGGAACATACCTGTGAAGGTTGAATGAAATTGGCTCAGAGGTTTATGGGGAAATGTCATTTAAAGTAAAAGTTTATGGACGGACAGACGATGGACGGACACCAGAAGAAAAAAGTGATCACAAAAGCTCGCCATGTGACTTTGTGACAGGTGAGCTAAAAACTGGCAAACATTTCCTTAATAAAATTGTTTTCTATTTAATTTAAAAATTGCTTAGCAGTTTAAACATATCATTTGTTATAGTAAAAAAACTGAAAATTTCCTTTCTTTAAATTTCTATTATGATCAGTATTTATACCATGTGCATTTCTTTAAACATAAAGGACCCCAAACCCTAAAAGAAAATGTCATGTTGAAAAAATAAGGACAAAAAGCAATAGAGTGTGGCACTAAAAAAATGTTTAAAAAAATATGGTGAAATTTCCTTATTTTTAAAAAACAAATGTCTTGTACTAATTTAACAAAGTGAAAAGAATAATGGAAATATAAAGAAAAGCTTATTCGAATTTGTGCCAATAAGGGACTATTTTTTCTTAATATAAAGTGCAAGGGAGAGTAACAGTGGATGTAACATACTTGTCACAGTTAACCTTTCCAGTGATCAAATATTCTTTTGATTCTTCTTTATACAAAGTATAACTTTATGAACAAAACATATAAATGTAAATAAACATGCAATATCCCATCTATCAATCCCAATTTCAGATTTAAAATATCAAGAACTAAAGATTTATTTTAAAAAGTATACAAAAATTGTATTTAATCCCCGGGTTAACCGAACATGTGTCCCTCAACAAACATTAACACAGATGCAACAATAAGTTTTACCTTAAATCAATCTTTTTACAGATCTTATACATTATTACCTTACACCCATTAACCAATATTCAAATCTCTATCACAACATACTCATTGTCTTTCCTAAATGCAACTCCACCTTAATCTGATGTTGAATCGCCTTTTCAATCTCACAAAAAGAGCTACATAAAAATACTTCTACTTACAAATCCCCAAACTTCATATTGTCCCATCAAATTACAACTCAATTAACCTCTTCTAGAATCAACATTATCATAAATTATTTTACATGTTTACCCGAACCAGGGTCTTTCAAATATAAAGAAAATTTGAAAACCCTGCCCAAAATCAGCATAATTAACTTAACTTCACGTGCCCAGTGAAAATCAGTACTTTTACAAAGAAAAAAAAACAAAACAAAAAACAAATTCATCCATTATCCTCACGCTTACAAATTTCGATTCATACCGAATAATTTACAACAGTACAAAAAGAGACAAAAAATACAGTATACAAAAAATGAAAAAATAGATTCTTTGGAATGATTAAGTTTATGGCATATGAATACAAACCTTGTAAAAATACTATTATTATACCTTGTAAGCTATATATTAGTATAAAAACAGTGAATAATAGAAGAAATATCATAATATATATAAATGCTAAGATAACTCTGTTAAGTGTGGTCTCCTACTCGATGAATACAAAAACATTTTATTTCAAAGCTTCAAGTCCTATCTATTCACTATCTCTCAATTTTGTTATAACTCCCTGGTATATTCAAAGCAAAATATGTCTATATAATCAATATATTTTCTTTTGTTGGTTTTAAAATCACAAGTCAAATGGTGACTTTTTTATTTTCATTAACCCTTAACGTGCTGGAACTAAATGTGGTTAGCCTTTGCCCACATTATAGAAGTCTTGATAACACCCTATCGTTATAGTAACTAACTGTTAGTTTGTTATGTTGTTACTGTTATCCCTTGAAATTCAAATGTACTGTTTTAAATACAAAGCAGGATAGTTTCATTACATGGAGTTAAGAACATTGAACTCTGCATATATGAGTCGCGTCATGACAAAACCAACATAGTGCGTTTGTGACCAGCATGGATCCAGACCAGCCTGCGCATCCGCGCAATCTGATCAGGATCCATGCTGTTCGCTATCAGTTTCTCTACTTGTAATAGGGTTGGTAAGCGAACAGCATGGATCCTGACCAGACTGTGCAGATGAGCAGGCTGGTCTAGATCCATGCTGGTCGCAAACCCATTATGTTGGTTTTATCATGGTGCAGCTCATATATTCTGGAACCAGCAGACTCATTGGTAAGAACTTTCTATCAGATGAACTTACAACACCCAAAGCTTCCAGAGAGTCTCGAGAGCAAAAGAAAGAAATGTAAATAACACTGAACATTTCAATGACATATCAAATGAGAAATATTGAAAAATCATGCCTGAAATTCATTAACAATGTGTTTAGAAATCATAAATGAATGATCTGTGTAGAAGTTTAATGCTACAATTTTCAGCGAGAAATTCAATGTTGATGCATCTACCTCGAGTAGAATTCACTATTTACTAGCAGTATATAATCAGTCCAGCTGTTACATATGTGTAAAATACATGACATATGCGTAGATTTTTTATTTATAGCATAACAAGCAGTATCTCTCACATCAACATGTATATGTACATTATTGGCTGTGTTATTTTTTGTTTCTAATGTCAATGTATATATTTTTGTCCCTAACGTCAATGTGAGAAATAAAATAATACAACAAGAGGGCCATGATGGCCCTGAGGTCGCTCACCTGTATATAGGCCCCCCCATACCCCCAGGCCTTTTTTTACCCAAGGGCTTTTATTTGTTTATTTGAACAGACTTGGTAGACACCCATAAGAAGATGTTTCATGCTAAACATCTAAGTTCTAGCTCATTGGGTTTTTTAAAAGAAGATTTTTAAAGTTTTTACTATACACATATAGTTAAAAACAATGACACCCCTGGGGCAGGGCCAGTTTTGACCCCAGGGCTTTTATTTGAACAAACTTTGTAGATATTTACTTAAAGATGTTTCATGCTTAATATCTTAACTCTAGCTATTTGGGTTTTTTCAAAGAATATTTTTAAGTTTTTGCTATACACATATAAGGAAAATCAATGACCCCCCCCCCCCGGGCGGGCCAGTTTTGACCCCAGGGCTTTTATTTGAACATACTTGGTAGACACCCATTAGAACATGTTTCATGCTAAATATCTTAGCTCTAGCTCTTTGAATTCTTTAAAAGAAGATTTTTTAAGTTTTTGGGGCGGGCCAATTTTGACCCCAGGGCTTTTATTTGAACAAACTTGGTAGACACTCATTAGAAGATGTTTCATGCTAAATATCTTAGCTCTAGCTCTTTGGGTTCTTTAAAAGAAGATTTTTTAAGTTTTTACTATATGCATATAGGGAAAATCTATGACCCCCTGGGGCGGGGTCAATTTTGACCCCAGGGCTTTTATTTGAAAAAATTGGTAGACATTCACTAGAAGACGTTTCATGCCAAATATCTAAGCTCTAGCTCTTATGGTTCTTTAAAAGAGGTTTTTTTTTAGTTTTTACTATATGCATATAGGGAAAATCAATGACCCCCTGGGGCAGGGCCAATTTTGACCCCAGGGCTTTTATTTGAACAAACTTGGTAGACACTCACTAGAAGATGTTTCATGCTTAATATCTTAGCTCTAGCTCTTACGGTTCTTTAAAAGAAGATTTTTTAAGTTTTTACTATATGCATATAGGGAAAATCAATGACCCCCTGGGGCCGGGCCAATTTTGACCCCAGGGCTTTTATTTGAACAAACTTGGTAGACATTCACTAGAAGATGTTTCATGCCAAATATCTAAGCTCTAGCTCTTACGGTTCTTTAAAAGAAGATTTTTTAAGTTTTTACTATATGCATATAGGGAAAATCAATGACCCCCGGGGTGGGGCCAATTTTGACCCCAGGGCTTTTATTTGAACAAACTTGGTAGACACTCACTAGAAGATGTTTCATGCCAAATATCTTAGCTCTAGCTCTTTGGGTTCTTTAAAAGAAGATTTTTTAAGTTTTTACTTTATGCATATAGGGAAAATCAATGACCCCCTAGGGCGGGGCCAATTTTGACCCCAGGGCTTTTATTTGAACAAACTTGGTAGACACTCACTAGAAGATGTTTCATGCCAAATATCTAAGCTCTAGCTCTTAGGGTTGTTTAAAAGAAGATATTTAAAGATTTTTCTTTCAGTTGCCATGGCAACCAGAGTTCTGCATGGAATTAAATTCTTTGAACAATTTTTAAAGGTGACCACCAAAGGAACATTCCTGTGAAGTTTGGATGAAATTGGCTTGTGGTTTATGAGGAGATGTCATTTAAAGCAAAAGTTTACGGACGGACGGACGACGGACGGACGGACGGCCAGACGCTGGACAAAAAGCGATCACAAAAGCTCACCCTGTCACTTTGTGACAGGTGAGCTAAAAACACTATAGAATAGGTATTTTAATGAATTATAATTGTTATTATATCTGTAAGAATAATCAAAAATGTTTTAAACTGAAAACAAAATTAGAATACAATATGTGTTGTTGTTTTTTTTCTTTCTCTCCAGCAAATGGTAGATTTAACAAATTAACTTTGGAAGAAAACCACCAAGAATTGAATAGACTAAACATTTCTTGAAAAACATGCAAATAACCACCACCTCTTTTATAGTGGTATGATCACTGTCTTTTTTGCTAGTTATTCACAATGCTGTAATGAGGCCTAACAATGTTTATGATGGCTCACATTTTATGATGATGTTTGTTTGATGCATCATTTGATAAATAGTATCAATCTTTTACACGTTATTTTCTTTGTATATAGTCATAATATTGTCAAAAGCATTGTGTTTGTTTTATCTAAAACCACTAAAATTTTAAGCTGTGTAACCACATATATTTACAAAGCAGTCAAATGACCTTGCCCAAACTAAAACAAACCAAAACGATTTCATTTTTCAACCTGTTTTATAATAACAAAAGGTGCATGGTCATTATTTATAACTTTTGCTTTGCAACACAAGATTTTTTGTGTATATACAAAGTGATTTCATATTTAAAATGTTTAAATATACAATATGTAAAAAAGTGTACTTCATAGCTCTATAAATAGTAAAGAAAAGATTTACGTTAAGGCTGACATGTGTGATGTGAGAGAAGTAGGAAATGAAATGGTTTAATATTGCACCTATATATGAAAACAATGACTACCACATAGCACCTAGAACAAAATAGAGACAGTACCAGACTGGTACAAATATGAACACTAGTTTTCAAAATAAAATATTATGAAAATATAATGATGAAAAATGAAAAGGTTATTATACAATAAAAAGGGTGCTTCAAAACAGCACATACACATAAAAGGCTTATACTAACCTAAATTATGGGTGTAATACATGATGTTTTTTATGTTAATTCTAGGGCAGTACATGGGTAGATACTTTGTATTTATATGAAACGATTGGTGGAAATACAACAATTTTTCCTTATTTTTTTTAAAACTAAAATCTGCTTTAAACCCATTATCTTAAAGAAAGACATAAATAAATGCCCATTCCATAAAAACAACTAGCCTGAGTTTCCTTCAACAGAATAAATATCATTTAAGAATATATATTCTAAAACATGTTTTAAGACAGATTTTAAAGGTATAACAACAAGTTACACATACAATTATATATTATTTTATGTGAACACAGTGATTCCTAGACTAGCATATAAAATTCAAAATATATTATAACAAAGGGACTTCCAAACGAGAGGTGCAAATATATATATCAAATAACATTGCCATTTTAGTGTTCAACAGAATAGTGATACAAGGGTTACAATTAATATATTACTGAACAATATAAACCCAACCTCCCTCAAAAATAATCACTACTTGACTGGCTGTTATGGATTATATCAACAGATATATCTGCTATAATTACATTTATTCAAATCAAGCCCCTCCCGCTTGTTTTAATTTAAATGTTGATTCAATAATCATTTCAACAAAATATTATAAGTGATCGAACCCACGTCCTTTGTAATTAACAATAAAGAACATAAAAAATGAAAAGCAACCTAAGTCCAGCTTATATCTTTAAACAATTTGCGATATAATACTTTTTATGTTACATTTCATATGAGTTTATTGAAGGTGATAATAACAATAATATCTCAAGCAAGAAAATAAGAGAACAAACAAACATGACATTTTATACATTAAAATACAATATACGATGAAAAAACTCACCTTCTTAGCAAACATAATCATATATACCAAAAAGCTCCAGGACATCTATATAGTCTTTGGTGAAAGTAAGACTAACTTTATTAAGTGTTTAAACCCATCAGACACATTTCAAAAGAAGCATTTCTTTAGTCACTCTTTGCATGCATTTTAGTATCTACAATAATTTGCCTACAGCTATACCATTGGTATTAAGCAATGCCAGGCTGCACGTCTGCGGTCAGTCTGCCACAGCTTTATAGTATTGTCTGCTAAAATTACACCATTAAATATTTGAAAGCAGGTCAATTACCAGAAACAACTCCATCAGCAGGGTGAGATCTACAAATGAAGTAAGCTTTACATTTGATCTTGCTAGATTTTAGTCTCATTAACACTATAGTGGTGGCACAGTGAGCATTGCATCTTACAATTGTCTCAAAATTTAATAAATTTTTCTTTTACACTCATCACACACATATATTTACAGTCACAAACAGACAGACATATCTATTAATGCTGAAAACATTAAATGGAATAGTTATCAAAATAACATACATCTGAGATGATTAATAAAAAACAATGAAAAATAAATCCCAGAAAAAAAAACAACATCTTCATAATAAATACAAAATAATGTCAACTGACAAAAAGATTTTTTTCAGATACTTGTAGAAAAATAGATCTATAATAAACATCAAATTGAAATGCATCGGAGCAATGATAAGAACACAGTATCACCTTTAAGATAAGTCAAGGTCAGTTAGCACACATAGACAAGCATTTATATGGTCACAATCGTAATCGATAAAAAATTCACTAATATCTGAAAACAAAATGAAATATTTTTTGTTATTTACAATGCTGAAGTGGAGATAGCACAAGTCAATACATTGTTTCACCATTTTTAAATGTTATTGATACATAATACCTATGCCCCTGTCATAAATCAATTCATAAATAACAGTTTAAACATACCATTCTGAGGTCAATATCATTTAGGGTCAAGGTCATGTATAAATAAATAAGAAAGAAGCCCAATTGAGAGATATTTTATGTCTAAAGTCTAAACATTAATGTTATAAGTATAATGACTGGTGTTAAAGCTGTCTATCAACAGACTGGACAAAAAAAACAAAAACAATATGCCCACAGATCTACATCATTTGTTCAAAAATGTGGACTAAGACATATCTTCGTTGACAGAAATAGTAAGCTAACAGCCTTGTCAAACATTTTGTAACTTACGAATTAAAATATTGGTTACTAATGTGGTGCGAGTGACAATTGCATTTATTAGTTTTTTATTTTTCTAACCCTTGTCTTTAAAAGACAAAAGTTAAGTAAGTTTCATAGTACAATTCTGAAACATTCCTTTTGAGACAAAAAATACCTTTCAAAATGTTAAATAATTATTATACATTATCATACTGTTTTCTTGCTCTTTTTTTTATTTTGACACAAAAGACCAACTTCCATTTATTTAAAAGAAAAAACTCATTAGGCTCGATATATTCAAGCCTAATAAAATTTACAAGTATAGTACATATAAACAATAAAGGAGTAATGGGCATTAGTTGAATCATAAGAAAATACTTTACAAAAAAGTATTACAAAATACTAACAACGTGTTAAAGGCAGGGTCAAGGACAGTCTGGTCACCTTACGTAATTACTACTGTATCAGCATGTCGAGAAGGATTTTTATATTGATATTTTTATGTCACATACAGACACTTATGGCGTAAGTCTTATGGCAACTTTCCAGATCATGTAAGATACACCACCATGCATCATTTCCAACATGCAGAAGCACCAATAAAGGACCTTTGACAATACAAATCTAACTTGATAATTTCCATACAAGCATGAATCTAACAAACAATAGCAATATTCAGACTTGCTGTAGAGAAGGTAAAATATTCTAAATTTTAAAGAAGAGAGAACAGATACAGTAGTACCCGTGTACAGATACAGTAGTACCCGTGTACAGATACAGTAGTACCCCTGTACAGATACAGTAGTACCCGTGTACAGATACAGTAGTACCCGTGTACAGATACAGTAGTACCCGTGTACAGATACAGTAGTACCCCTGTACAGATACAGTAGTACCCGTGTACAGATACAGTAGTACCCGTGTACAGATACAGTAGTACCCGTGTACAGATACAGTAGTACCCGTGTAAGGCGACGATTCTATGTCAGGTAACACAGTCTACAAAACTCGTAGATAACTTTTATATATATGTATAAAAAAAACAGATGACCATTCATAAAAAATAAATTGTTGTTGTTTTTCTTTACAAATTACAAAGTTCCTATCTACGAAACATACTACATCTACCAATCTACTCTTTTAAAGTTGTATAAAAAATCAATAAATGACATACAATATTGGAGGAATAAAATCACATCAATGTTTTTTTTCAATGTCAGAGATTTTGTATCTCAAACTGCAACTTTCAACATTACTCTTCATTTCACCAAAAAATAAATGTAAAGCTTTTAACCATCACAACATCTTTTACGGGAGAATAAATAGTGTAATGAGACAACCTGCTTTATAGTTCACAAGTGTAATTAAAGCTCTAAATCCATTAATATAAACAAAAGATAGATTAAATTTAATTTTGAAAAAGACTTATGTAAACCATAGGTCAATTGCTGCATAAAGATGTGTCTCCTTAATTTATATAAAATTCATCAAAACAACAGAACCCTAAAAATGTCTATTTTGGGGGGTTGCATTTTTTCAAGAGTTATACTGTTTATTTTATATTTAAAAAAAAAACTCATGTAGGGAAAAAAGGTTTCTAATAAAATAAAAAAATTAGTTCAATGTAAATATTTAGTAATCTTTAATCCTGAAAGAAAGATGTTACATAAGTTTCTAAACTGAAACAAGTTCACATTTATAACAGCTCTAATTTTTCATTAAATCAAACAACAATTATTGATATCAAAAAAGTTTTTCTTCCTTTAAAAAGGTTATGTACTTTAAAATAATGTTAACTTGAATAAAAAATAGCATTTTCAAGTCTTAAAGTTTGCATATACATGTTTAAAAATATTCTGTAAACTAAAATTACAAGTATTTTTCAAAGTTCATTTCCTACAAAAAACAAAACAAAACAAAAACATTCAGTTGCAAAAAGAAATTTAATAGTTGCAATATTTTTCCATGGCCGCCATTCTATTCACCAGCTCTTTAATTCCATGTTGTATTCTCTTCAGATGACCAACTTTGTGTACACCAAGGTCCTGATGGGAAAAATGAAAATTTTGAAAGGTCAATCACAAAATAAATGCAAGTGATAGGAAATTGTCAGGAAACCAAATTTTTAGTCACTATTACACAATTAAGTGAAAAAAATGGCCATTTTCCCACAAACTATAATCATGTAATAAAACCCTAACAATATGTTCCAACATAATGCAGCACAGTTTAAACAAACAGGCTGTTATTTTATCTAAAGCAAGAAATGTCAGAATATGTAGCAAATACATTCTTAACCATAACTAACTTAAGGCCAGCCAGTGCACATCTCCAGTTTGACTACTCTATAGTATTTAACTACCTGGTGTCTTTGTTGTTCTTTTTTTATGTTTTTTATTTTAAATATCAAAACTTCTGAACTTTTAAATATCAGCACTTTTGAAATCAACAATATACAGTTTCAATTACAAGCCCATTCTCAAAATTTAACAAGTTTGTTTGATTGGGTTTAACTGTCGAGATTCTAACCCACAGTGGTGAGCGACAAGTGGTTTGAAGTCAATGACATTAACCACTCCGCCACAGACACCCCAAATTCAACAAGTGACAGTCCATACCATACAAGGGATCTGACCTGCCCACAAGTTGCAATTTGATACCAAACAAAATTGACACAAACAAAACAAAACAAGATGCCATGATGGCCCTGAAATCGCTCACCTGAATATAAAACTCTCTCTGACAAGAAACAAGTAATATTGTAAGCTATAAACAAAAGCAGATATAAAATCTAAATCTAAAAATGATATCACAAAAGTCATATTTGCTTCTGAAACAGTGCATGTGTAAAAACATAACTGGTTGATATTGCTAAGGGAAATCAACAGTTCCAAAAGATGTGTACATATCAGAAGAATCAAAGACCCCCTGGAGCGGTACCAATTTTGACCTTAGGGCTTTTATTTGAACACACATAAGAAGATTTTTTATGATTAATATCTTAACTCTACCTCTTTGGATTTTTAAGTTTTTATAATGTACATATAAGGAAAATCAATGACCTCCTAGGACAGGGCCATTTTTAACCGCAAGTATTTCATTTGGATGAACATGGTAAACAACCACTAGAAGATGTTTAATGCTTGATATCTAAGCTCTAGCTCTTTGGTTATTTTTTAAAAGAGGACTTATTTTTGCTTTTACTATATACATACAAGGAAATTAAATGACCCCCTTGGGTGGGGCCAATTTTGACACCAGGGCTTTTATTTGAACAAAATTGGTAGACACCCATTAGAAGATGTTTCATGCCAAATATCTAAGCTCTCCACCAAAGGAACATTCCTGTGAAGTTTGAATGAAATGGCTTGTAAATTTATGAGGAGATGTCGTTTTAAGTAAAAGTTTACAGACGGACGCCAGACGAAAAGCAAACACAAAAACTCACCATGTCACTTTATGACAGGTGAGCTAATAAAAACCCCACTAAAATTAGGGCAGCTAAATACAACAAGTAAGTATCTGGACATACCTGTATATCTGTTTTATCAAGACTGAGTAGTTCTAACCCTCGTATCTCATGTCTGATGAACGATTCTCTGTATTCTGATAGGGACATGTTGTCTAACCACTGACCCACATCTTCTGCTGTCCACGAGTTCACATTGTATACTAGAAAATGAAAAATAACATGCCGTTTATTGTAGATTTTATTCAACAAATATTTGTGTTCTGTTTTTTGTCTTTTTCTTGAATCTTCAAAAGATTTTATTTTCTTATATTTGGTTGTAAGTCAGCCATGCCTCAATATAGTTCAATAATGACAGAGGGTGATGGTGACATTTAATACATTAAGGATTACAAATCCTAATGGAAATTATACATTTAGAATCATTTAAATCATTCATTTTATGCTCCACTGTTCTTAGAGCATGATGCGTTGATAATGTATAATTTTCTAAGTTCAAAAAGGTCCATAATATAGTTAAAAACCATATAAGAGATGTAAACTTTCTGTTATATTCTCAAGGTGTATGACCAATGGTAAATCTTTGAATTTTTTCGACCCATTTGCTTTAGCAGTTTTGAAGATACCAATTTGCAAGCAAAACTTTTGACGACCCTAGGTGAATACAGTAGTGCTCCTTTTTTTTCAAATAGCTACTTACTGAAATAGTAACTGTAAGTTAAAAGCTTAGGGATTACATGAAGCAACAAAACTAAATATACATGATAAAATACAAGAAATGGATGATAAACCCCTACCAATACATGATAAAACACTTCCGATACATGATAAAATACTATGGATACATGATAAAACACTTCTGATACATGATAAAAACATTACTGATACATGATAAAATACTACCGATACACGATAAAACACTACCAATACATGATAAAATACTAGGGATACATTTGATAGAAATGCTTACATAATGGAATGTAAGGTTTCTCTTTATCCTTCTTGCCTTTCAGTTTACTAACCACCTGTTTAAACTTCCCTGGCTTTGGTCTTGGTTTCATCTCTACACTTGCCAGCAACTGTAACACAATTAATTTTCATACAAATCATATCCAAAAATACCTTATTTTTGTTTGTATTTTTTTACACAGATTTTAATGCATTAAGTCTTATCATGGCAGCTGATCTAGCTTTACCGGCTTTCCTGGATAACTCACCTGTAATTACCATTTACACCACAGGTGACCAACTATTAAATGCACATGACTTCTAACTAGTCTTTTCCAAAGATATAAATGTAGAGGGAATATTTAACCAGCCTTTTCCACAAAGATATCAGTATTTATCTCTTCTTGAGATTGGCATAAGATGCACAATTTAACTTACCTCTTCCTGAGATATTGGTGCAGAGGGAATATTGCACATTTCCATCACTTGTTTTGTCTCCTCCTCAACTTGAGACAGGGAATGATTTAGTTTCTCCTCAATATCTAGCCTTATCCTCTGTAAAAACAAACAAAATGTTTACTGAATTCTCAATATTCAATGCTCTGCTATTTATAAATAATTTCATAACTAAGTTGATTAAAATACAAAAGTGTGATTATCAGAAATACTTTTATTACTATTACTACTACTTCTACTAATGCTTTTATTATAATTTTAACAAAGAGTCGTGACAAATTTTGTATGAGCACTATACCTAGTAAATAATGTCTTTGTTAAGTAATTTAGCAAAATAAGTGGTAAAATTGTGATTTTAATAATATGTTTTTTCAAGGTTGTGATGGTAAATTGGTGATCCTTATAATATTTTTAAAGGCACATTATGCCTCAGAAATAAATAAATAAATCTTTACTTCTTTAGAATTAGTAAACATAAATTTTATAATTGTTTTAGAGAATGTACGGTAAATGTCACTGATATTTTAACTTGTAAAAAGTACCCATATTTGTAAAATAATATCTCATAAAACTTCCAAACAAAATACTAATTCACTATAACTGTACTTATCTAACGAAATACGAGTAACCTTTTGGATACTATAATAGTACACCAAAATTAAAAAGTTTTAGGGAAATAAAACCCAACCATTTCTGAGTATGGGTCTTTAAACAAATGCCCTTATACTTACCAGCTCCGGAGCTTTATCAGCTAGGAATATACTTGTTTCGTTGGTCAGATGTCGAACGCTATGTACAAAATCTATCACTTGACATCTCAGAGTAGGCTATAAATAACAAAAAACAAACAAAAATTCAATGTCTTACAAGAAACAAACATTCACTAAGTCATGTACACTGATTTAAAATGTTACAGGCAAAATGTTTGTAACTGGCAGATGTTGACTGTAAGTACAAGAAAAACAACAATTTATTACAGTAACATATACACTGTATAGAACTTGTTGTAAAAGGGGAAACAACTGTTACCTGAGTAAAGAAATCAATCTTTGTAAGAGTTATCTTATCATTATGTTAACAACAATTTTACAGTCGTCTATAAATAGGTATAGATCAGTTTCTAACATGAAATTTATTATAAAAAAATGACAATATTTTTCCAATCTTGATAAGAAAAAATAATCTTCTTGATCTTTTTTTCTGTCTAAAGAGGGGTAATTCAAATTGTCAGAATAGCAAACCACTAACATGAAACATTTATTTTGCAAGTATTTAAGATTAATTGATTATTTAAAGATAAATTGATTGTTTGCTCTAAATTTTTCCAATTATTCTACAAATTTGCTTGACACATAAAACACAATTACATTTGTACTGAAATTAAACATTTAATATGACTTATTCTTGAAAAGAATATAATGTTTACAAGCAAAAGTCCTTCTTCAAGATAAAGTATGAAAAATGTTTTAGCTTTATACAAAAGGCTACACATTTGGTAAAAATGAAAATAACACACACACAAAATGAAAATGCTATGTATATTTTTATAGAAACTAAATCTACACAATGTCAGGGTAAAATAAACAAAAAAATAAATAAGAAGGAAGTATGTCAGTTTACAAAATTAATATATCTTGAAGCTAGAAAAGCTGCCTTTAAAAAACAACAACTTCACCTCAATGTTTATCTCATGGGAATCAAGTAACCAGACAGGTTTCTTGAATAGGAAAAAAAAACACAAAAAAATCACCTTCTAAAATTTTAAAGACAAAACAATGTATTGTACAATGCACAATCTCTTCAGATCACACCGTATAGGAGACACAGATTTTGATGTTGCTGAGTGGTGTAGCTGTTTGTTTGATTAGGTTTTACATCACACCGACACAGTATTGATCATATGGCAACTTTCCAGCTTTACTCAATTGTCCTTCCATGCATTATTTCTGGCACAAACGGGCACCTGAGTAGAACCACCGCGTTTCGTAATCTAGCTTGACAGCTTCCTCACTTGACAAGATCCAAAGTCCCTTTTAGGATTCGAACCCACAGTGGTGCAGGGCAAGTGGTTTGAAGTCAACGATCAAAATCAATAGGCCAAGGACACCCCGAGTGGAGTTGTACTTCAGCAGATAAATTCATTATTAACTTTGGGAACAATTCACACTGTCTTTAGAAAGAGGTTACTGCTATACAGAGAGCCTTTCTGTAGATGTTTCACTGTAGGTATATATAAACCTTAAATGTGTATGTCATAATGCTGAATCCATTTTTTTATCCTAAGGTTATAAATAGATCTTTCCATTTAACTTCTGTTTACTTTCGTTCATAAAATTACACCAGTACTAGACTACCTTCCTCCGCGCTAAGCTACCAAAGCATCTCCCGGGAATCGAACCCACGCCAGAGTGGTAACTGGATTAGAAGTCATTGACTCTAACCCCTCAACCACGGAGGCGGTTAAAAAAAAAAAAGTTTTGCAAAGGTAAAAAATTAAAAAAAATTTAAACACTTTCAGTTGGATTCTTGTAAATCTTAGAAATTTCCCTTGCAAAAACGGCATAGTATGTTTACATATATAATTAAACCTCAGGCAGATTTTCTTGTAAGGGAAGGAAATAATAAACAAGAGCTGTCCGTAAGACAGCGCGCTCGACTTTTTTATTGCTTGCCAATAAAAAAAGTTTTTGCAGTAAAAGGCAATACAAGAATCTCTGTATTTTTAAAGTGAACTAGTTGTTTGATACCCTTGAATATTACAGCAATGTTTATATGACATAATTTATGGTAAAGTGAACAAGTGGATAGGAATGAATTTTTTTAGATTTTTTAAGTTTTTTAGTGCTTGCCTATAATACAAAACATTGACAGTTAAGGGCCATAATTCAAATAAAATCTTTGACAGAATTACCTTCTCCTGGACATGTTTGGGAATCATGATTGTAAACAAGTATTCCAACTTTCAAATTAATATCTCAAACAGTTCAGTCAACAAGAGCTGTCCGTAAGACAGCGCGCTCGACTTTTTTATTGCTTGCCAATAAAAAAAGTTTTTGCAGTAAAAGGCAATACAAGAATCTCTGTATTTTTAAAGTGAACAATGGCCATGAGCATTAAGATATTTAGTGAAGAATTATTTTACTGAATTGTGTGATACCCTTGAACACTGCAGCAAAGTTTGAAATGTTTAAGTCAAAAGAGGGCTGGTAAGAAAGAAAAAAAAACTGAGTTGAGCCTTAAATAAATTTAATAGTATTAAACCCACTTTGAGAGAATAAGGTATTTTTACGTCACTCAGAACACCTTGGTAAATGACATAATAACATAATTTTTCAAGAAATCTATGCCAAGGAAGCAGTATATTTTTGTACAATCAGCATAATATATAGATTTGACTTTGTATGTGAAAGTATTATAGTTACCTTATAATACAAGTAATAGATAAGTTTTTTAGTGCTTGCCTATAATACAAAACATTGACAGTTAAGGGCCATAATTCAAATAAAATCTTTGACAGAATTACCTTCTCCTGGACATGTTTGGGAATCATGATTGTAAACAAGTATTCCAACTTTCAAATTAATATCTCAAACAGTTCAGTCAAAAAGTGGACTGGTACTAAAAACTTAACCAAGATTCTAAGTCGATAAAAGGCCTTAATTTTTAAAACAAATCCTTGACAGAGTTACCTTCTCTTGCGTACAGATGGGGGTAATGATGTGAAATAGCATTAAAAGTTTCAAAGCAATATCTCAAAGGGTTAAGGCAATAAGTGGATTTTACCCATATTCAATGTATTTTCTAAGTCAAAAAGGGCATAATTCTGTCAAAAACCTTGACAGAGTTATGTCCTCTTGTCTGTTGATGAAGGTCGTGATGGTAAACAAGTATGGTCAGTTTCAAAGCAATACCTCCAATGGTTTTGAAATAAAGTGAGGTGGTACAAAAAACTTAACCAAGCTCAATACACTTTCTAAGTCAAAAAAGGGCCATAATTCTGTCAAAAACCTTGACAGAGTTATGTACTCTTGTCTGTAGATGGAGGTTATGATGGTGAACAAGTATGGTAAGTTTCAAAGCCATACTTGTAATACTTCTGAAATAAAGTGGGGTGGTACGAAAAACTTAACCAAGGTGTGACGCCAACGCCGACGCCGACGCCGGGGCGAGTAGGATAGCTCCCCTTTTCATAGAAAAGTCGAGCTAAAAATCAAGAGTCTATTAAATAATGATTTTTTAGGGGATAAAGAAAAAAAGACACTGAAGAAATTTGAAATAAAATAATAATAATAATATAATGATAATAATAAAAACACTTAAAAGACCAACACAGGCACTAAACAGTAAAACAGTACTACAATAACATATTTGCTGTTATAACATATGAATAAACCTGGTGAGATTCAACACTCCGTTCTTCCAACTATAACAAGGGAGATAATAAAAAAGTAAAAGTGATGAAAAAGGTAAAAAATAATGTGATTAACAAGTTGCCAGGGGAGGAAACTCTCAAAAAAAAATGTTTGCACATGATTTTTTTTCCCACAAAAATGTTAATTTTGTTGGAGAAAATGTAATTTTAACATATAGACTGCTGGCAGCAACTAACTGTGTCCCATATGACCAGTGGAGATCAGCAAGCCACTATCCATGCTGTTTGACCTGTTCACTGTTTAAGGTTATAGTTATATCTATTCCATGATCATTAATGTACAAATTGCAAAATTAAAAGAAAAATCCCAATTCTTCTGGTATTGACTGGTCCCAAATTGGAGGGGTGGGGGGGGGGGAGGATCATGTTTTAAAAAAATGCTTATTAAGAATGTCTCTGGACGTTACAAATACATTTATTTTTTAACTTTCCAATCTGTGATTGTTTCTGTTTCAATAAATATTTTCTCCAACATAATGACTTCATGGTGAAAATTAAGTTTTACAGTAAAAATAGATATAGGATGATGGTTAATAAAACATGTAGGGCTGTCATTGGAAATCAGTTATTATTTTTTTCTAAAGATAAATAATTTCGCCAGAGTAATACGAGTATATTGTCTATATTCACCCGTTGACATCCTAATGTGAAATTTCTTACAATGACAGCCCTTAACATCTGTGCTATACAGGAAAAATGGGAACAACTCATGAATTGTTGGCTGATTTCAAATAAATAGAAGTGTAAACAACATTTGGAAAAAAGTGTTTTACATATTTATTTTTTTTTTAAATCTCAAAGAAATTGGATATTTTGGAAAGAGAAATGAACACAATCAAATTAATGGCTGTGGTTTCAACCTTTACCCTGCTGGAATAGAAAAACATTAGCCTTTATACTACCAGTATAGAGTCAAGCAAATCTGAACTTCAGTGCAGTTTGACCATGCTCTATACTGTTTGCCTACTAACTTTAAATCTTTATCTTGAAATCCCAAAAAACTGAATGTGGACAGTTCCAAAACAAAACTGATAGCTGGACCAGTTCATTTAAGAAAATCAGCAGGATAAAAGTCAATCAAGTACAGAAAGAGCAAAAGCATTCCATATAAAAAAGATATTCCAAAGAATTCCATTAATAATATTGACTTTTCAGGATTTTGAAAAAAATTAAAACTTTTTGCACCCAGCGATTTTTATGTAGAAATTTATTTTCATTTCTTAATACAAAATGATAATGACTTCATATTTAACACAAGTAAAAAATGAATATTTTCAGATAAAGTCAAAATTATAAAAATCGCTACTAGTACTAACTCTTCAACTGTTTTAGCTGAAAGCTTAAAATTTCATTCTCTAAATTTTGTAAGAAAGGCAAGCTATTATTGCAGCTGTATAAACACATCTGCAGATGTTTCCAAATTTAGAATTTCACCATATATTTGTTGAATGTTGCCAAAGCCAGTGCTTGGGGACGTGGAAGGTAGCTTGCAGCTTCCACTACCGTCCAACAGGCTCAATCAAACCTGACCTGTAAAATTTCAAATTCTGCCATTTTTTGGGCATTTTATAAGGAATTTATTTTCTGTATTTTGCTAATAAAGTATATAAAAAAAACTCAGAAAAGAAAAATTTTGAGAAAAAAAAAACCCCACAAAAACAAACTATTTTTGTGAATTTTATATACCCGGTACAAATGATATTAAAATTGTGCTGTAAACAAGTCTTATAATTAATATTATTCCAAAATAAAAAAAATAGAGACAGAGGTTTGGGTAGAATGTGACAAGTTTTGTGTGCAATGTTTTAGATGTTTTGGCTTACTTCACCAAACATTAACATTAGATGTTAACACTAGACAATGTATACCACATACCTCTGACAGACGTCCGGAAGGATACAATCTATCCAGATACTCTGATGCCCTTGTTGCCAAGGGAAACAACTCCTGTTCTATTGAACTGTATGTAAGGGAGGCAACTTTGACACTGCAAAAGAAAAATATATGGTGCCTGTTCTTGAAATTTATATTCAGACCTTCCTGCGTCAATTTTACCTGATATAGGGAATTAACTATGTAAACTAGAACTATCACTAAATGTGATTAATACCCCCACAAGACTGTGCTTTGGAAATGAGGATGTTATACTGCCCTCACACATACCTCGCGACCTTACTGCGACCTTGCTACGACCCAGGACGCAGCACAGTCGCCATGGACGCAGCAGGGACGCAGCGAGGTCGTAGCGAGGAACCCAAGGACGCACAAGGTCGCAGACCGTCGGCGACTATTTTGAACATGCACAAAACAGTCGCAGAAACTCTGCGTTCTTGCTGAGTCCTGGTTAGGTCGCCGTGGGATCGCAGTGGAGTCGCCATAGTCGCAGCAGCATCGTAGTAAGGACGCAATAAGAACGCTATAGACGTAGTACACTCGTACTAAGGACGCCGTAGAGTCACCGATGAAATTACAAGAAATTGCTCGGAAACCTTTGGCGACGCTACTGCTACTGGTAAAAAATATTGTTTTTATAGACGTAGCAAGAACGTAGTAGGGTCGTCGTACAGTCGCAGGACACTCGCCGGACAAACGCAATAGTCGTCGTAGAGTCGCCGTAAGGACGCAGAGAACATAGCACGGTCGCAGCTGGGTCGCCGATGATCGCCGTAGGGTCGCCTTGGGGACGCAATACAGTCGCAGTGGAAACGCCATGGACGTAGAAGGGTCGTATTGAGGACATAGAGAAAACGTACTGAACACAAGACTGCAGAGCCCCGGACCGTCTCCGAGAAAAATTTGAAAGAAAACCAACGATTTTCGAAAGAAAAATGCTATTTTACTAGTTTCAGGTCGCAGTAAGGTCGTGGTTTATGTGTGAGGGCACCTTTACTAGTAACAGAATACCTTGTAAAAGAATTGAAATATAGAGTTATGGTTGTGGGAAATTAAAGATAGTTGTGGTTCTTGTATGTTGCATTTCCTTTCAATGTGGTTGGCCATTGATAAAGTTTTATTGAATTACTCTGTAATAAGTCCAGAAAGACAAAGAAAAGGAACAAAGGACAATAACTCTATAAATACTGAAGATGAAGTTATAGTTCTTGTGCACTGCATTTCCTCTTATTGTGCTTGACCATTGTATGAAGTTGTTTTGAATTCCAACCAGTACGTTTTAAGTTATGCTCCGGACAAGGAAAAGTATCAAAGGGCAGTAACTCTGTATTTTGTCAAATTGGAGTTATGGCTCTTGTGCACTGCACTTCCTTTTAATGTCCTTGACAACTGTATGAAGTTGTATTGAATTCCAAACAGTAGTTTTCAAGTTATGCTCTGGACAAGGAAAAGTAACAAAGGGCAATAACTCTGTAATTAGTCAAGATGGAGTTATGGTTCTTGTGCACTGCCCTTCCCTTTATTGTGCTTGACCATTGTATGAAGTTGTTTTGAATTCAAACCAGTAGTTTTCATGTCATGCTCTGGACAAGGAAAAGTAACAAAGGGCAGTAACTTCTTTGATAAGTCAAGATGGAGTTATTGTTCTTGTGCACTGCACTTCCTCTCAATGTGCTTGACCATTGTATGAAGTTATAATGAATTGCACAATTAGTCTTCAAGTTATGGTCGGGACAAAAGAAAGCAATGGAAAAGTAACAAAGGGCAATAACTCTGTAATTACTTTAGATAGAGTTATGGTTCTTGTGCACTGCACTTCTCCTTACTGTGTTTGATAATTGTATGAAGTTGTTTTGAATTCCAACCAGTAGTTTTCAAGTTATGCCTTGGAGGAAAAGTAACAAAGGGCAATAACTCTGTAATAAGTCAAGATAGAGTTATGGTTCTTGTGCACTGCACTTCCTCTCAATGTGCTTGACAATTGTATGTAGTTATATTGAATTCCAACCTTAAGTCTTCAAGTTATGGTCCGGACAAAAGAAAGCAATGGAAAAGTAACAAAGGGCAATAACTCTGTAATTACTTTAGATAGAGTTATGGTTCTTGTGCACTGCACTTCCCCTTATTGTCATTGACAATTGTATGAAGTTGTTTTGAATTCCAACCAGTAGTTTTCAAGTTATGCCCCGGACAAGGAAAAGTAACAAAGGGCAATAACTCTGTAATTAGTCAAGATAGAGTTATGGTTCTTGTGCACTGCACTTCCTCTCAATGTGCTTGACCATTGTATGAAGTTATATTGAATTCCAACCATTAGTCTTCAAGTTATGCTCCGGACAAGGAAAATGCAACGGACGTCTGGACCGACCGACCGACCGACCGACCAACCAACCGACCACCGGGTGACTCCTATTTACCCCCCCAAACTTCGTTTTTGGGGGTATAATAATAAATCAGGCATAACAAGGCACCAATACCACAAGCATAAAGCTTTACTAGAGGCACTGCAGGCAACACATCTGTGTAGACTGACCAGGCCTTATACTATAAACTGCTATACCTCAGTATTCTGACATTTCAATTAATAAAATATACAAAATTAAGAACCAGATAAGATTTTTATATAGAGGATATTTGTTTGTTTCAGTGTAAGATCGAAAAATATTTCACCGAGTGAACACCAGATGCAATATTTTCCACGAGTGGCGTAGCCACGAGTGAAAATATAATAGCTGGGGTTCACGAGTGAAATATTATTTGATCTTACATGTAAAACAAACAAATTTTCTGTTTATTTCATGATTTTTTAACGATTTTTACACCATTTTACTGATTTTTGCCGCGTAACGTCATGCTCTTATCTTCATGACGTCATCAAATAATGACGTCACAATGTTGAAGCAAAATATAATTCCATGATTATTTTTAGATTTTAGATGTTTTTCAGCACAACGTTCGTAAATATTTATGAACTACAGTTATCACGTACATTTGTTATTATGATTGACTACAGTACATTTCCGCTGAAAAAAAACATTCATTAATGATAAATATTTTATTTTTACGCCAAATATAGTTCGGCTACTGTGAAATTATATTTGGTAATCATTACTGTGAAATTATCAGAATATAATTAACCGTTATAATTCAGTAATCTACTGCAAAACATGTAAAAAAATAAGTTAATTAATTTAAGCATAGTAAGAGTACAAATACTTTCCACTTAAACATTTTGGACTACATCGCATATGATATCTGCCCTTTATTAGAGCCTATTTATCAAACCATTCAGAAATGTCTTAAATGCCTTGTATTTTAATTGAAAAAGTCGAGACTGTGATTTTTCTGGACAACTTACAAGTAATTTCACTCTTAATCTTTTTTTTTAAATTTTTTATGTGATAAAAATAAAATGGGAATATATATTTTTTAATATTGTCCATAAATACTATGTGTCTAAACTTTAAGCACTGTATTGATAATTAAGAAAGCAATTTTCTTTGAACATAAATGATAAAGAATGAAAAAAAAAAAATTAATTTTGTCAAAATAATAATTAAACATATTCGGGTAGAATTGACTTTTTCCTGACTTGATAACATTTATGATGTAAGTGGACAAGTCCAACATGCAAGCTACACTTACATTTTTATAAGTGCTGATGCCACCTCCACAAATTTCTGCAGGGACTCGGTCTCTTCGGCATTCAGAGAGTCTGGCTTTAGGGCAGCTGAAGGCTCTAACTTCTGTTTCTCTGACCAGGACTTTAATACTGTTTCAAATGACTGAAAAAAATACGTCAATAAAATAATTATTAAATCAATGATTGCAAATTTACTGCTAGGCTGAGTGGTTAAGGTCATTGGCTTCAAACAATTTGCCCCTCATTACTGTAAGTGTGAATCCCGTCAGGGACTTTGGATTGTTCATGTATGGAAGCTATTAAGCTAGCTTCCATTACATTGGAAGTTCTTCTTCGGTACCTGTTTGTGCATGAAATAATGCACAGATGGTCTCTGAGGTCTTCCTCCACCAGTTAAGCTGGAAAGTTGCGATGTCATCTCTACTGTGTTGGTGCATGTAAAACTATGAGTCACAAAGTATCAGCATAAATTACCTACATCTTGCCAAATATGCAAAATTTTAATCTATGAATAACAGGGTAGAATTTTGATGACAAAATTAATATATTCTGTCATACCTTGCATTACTGTCATACAATGTTTCAAAACCTTGTCAGGGGCAAGCCCAAGAATGGTAACACTTATTGCTTAACACAGGAATGTTCCAGGAACCAATTTGTTTGTTGCAATAACTCGAAAAAAAATTCAATGAACATATAGTGTCCAACACAATATAACTAAAATCAAATCTGTACGTACTAAGCTAAAAATATATTTTTTTTAAATTTATTTTACTCATCTGGCTTAAAAGTGTATAAAGCTAATATTCTTTGTTGCCTGCAGTTTATAATTTGAATTTTGAGAAATAGTAATTCTAAAAGGCTTGTATGAAACAAGAGGGCCATGATGGCCCTGAGTCGCTCACCAGAAACAACGGCTTTACAGTGTTGGAAATTATTCTTCAAAAGAACTTGCTGAAAGGCAAGTCCAGCTCTTTCGGTAAGTTCAGCTCAACTTTAACTTGCCCCTCTAGTAATATACTTTCGCAACACTGATTGTTTTAGCTTTTTTTCTTCATAATAAAAAATAGGGCAACACTCATCTAACCCATCATTTCATTATTCACTATATAAATTGAAATATTTTGCCCTAATATTTTGGAAAGGCTTTGTTAAAAATATGTATGTTGCAAGTGTGTTCCTATGAGACTATGTAGAATAAATGCAGAATAAATGACCACTAGAGCAGGATTAATTTTGACTGGACAATTTTTTTTATAACTTTTTTGAATGAAAACACAAAATGTCACATGCAAAACATGTAAGGTGTAGATGTTTGAAGTTTACAGTTTGGGACAACAAATTTTTTATACATTCTGTATGGTAACATAACTGTACCTCAAAAAAAGACAATAGGTCAAACATTGTAAAAAATATGAAAAGTAGGCCAGTTGATATCAAAATTCAATTCAGCATCAGAAATTACACCCCTAGTCCAAATTTCAAGTCTGTATGTCAAAAAACACAAGAATGAAGGTCAAATTATTATATCAAAAATATAACAAGAGGGCAATGATGGCCCTGAGTCGCTCACCAGAAACAACTGCTTTTCAGTGTTGGAATGAAATATATTCTAATATAAAATTTGAGCATAGAATATGTTTAAACAATAATTTGAAGAAATGCCATGACCTTGGGTATTTAAGCTTTAGCTTAAACGGGGCTAATCAAATTAATATGAGCAAACTTGATAAAAGACTACCTAAGAATGCTACAAAGTTTGGTGATTATTCATCAATTGTTTCAGTAGGAAATGGTGTTTGAAGGTTTTTTTCTATTTTTAGCTTTAGTGGTCCCTAAAAGGGGCTAATCAAATTAATATGAGCAAACTTCATAAAAGAGTACCCAAGAATGCTACAGACAAAGTTTGGTGATCATCTATCAATTGGTTCTGAAGTAGAAGATGTTTAAAGGTATTTCTATTTTTAGCTTTAGCGGCCCCTAAAAGGGGCCAATCAAATTAATATGAGCAAACTTGATAAAAGATTACCCAAAAATGCTACAGACAAAGTTTGGTGATCATCCATTAATTAGTTCTGTAGGCGAAGATGTTTAAAGGTTTTTCTATTTTTAGCCCTACAGACCCCTAAAAGGGGCCAATCAAATTAATATGAGCAAACTTGAAAAAAGACTGCCAAAGAATGCTACAGACAAAGTTTGGTGATCATCCATCAATTAGTTCTGTAGAAGCAGACGTTTAAAGGTATTTCTATTTTTAGCTATAGCGGCCCCTAAAAGGGGCCAATCAAATTAATATGAGCAAACTTGATAAAAGACTACCCAAGAATGCTACAGACAAAGTTTGGTGATCATCCATCAATTAGTTCTGTAGAAGAAGATGTCTAAAGGTTTTTCTATTTTTAGCCCTAGAGACCCCTAAAAGGGGCCAATCAAATTAATATGAGCAAACTTGATAAAAGACTACCCAAGAATGCTACAGACAAAGTTTGGTGATCATCCATCTTTTAGTTCTGTAGTAGAAGATGTTTAAAGGTTTTTCTATTTTTAGCTCTGTTGACCCCTAAAAGGGGCCAATTGAAATGACATGAGCAAATTTAAGTGTGACTGTCACAAGGATGCTACAGACCAAATTTTAGGTAAATCTGCCCAGCAGTTTCAGAGAAGAAGACGATTGTTGACGCATGACGACGGACGCCGGAGTATCCCCCTTTGATACTAATAGCTCACCCTGAGCCTTCGGCTCTGGTGAGCTAAAAAATGTGAAGGCATATTTCCTTTTGAGATAATGGCTCATGCACGAAATGATTGGTAAACAGTTAAAAACATACTTAAAATAGCAACATAATTTTTTTTTTTTAGAACATTTTATTCTGTTTACCTACAGTTTTCATGTGTGATAAATAACAGAAATATTCTGTCCATAATCTGCCATAACATTATGGAAACAGCATAGTTTTAATGTTTTTAAATTTGATAAAAATATTTCACCAGATATAGCTTCATACCCTTTAAAAATGAAGTGAATTTTATAAATACCCTATCTCTTGTCAGCATTTGTGCTCTGTTTTTATGCACAATACGAATATATCCTGGTGGCTGTATCCATGCTTCCCCATCCACTTGAACAGGAACTCCCTCATCTCCCATTATCATAATCTTTACAGTCCGACACTGAAAATATCACATTTTTTTTCATACATGATACAAGTTTATCTTGCATTATCAGACACTATTTACTCTTTACACAGATACTACCAAATCCCACCCCACCCAAAAAGGCAAGTCATATGAATGAAGTCATTTAACAGTCATGAAAGAAATTGTAAATTCCTACACTACTACAAGAAACAATAGGGCCAAGATGGCCCTAGATCGCTCATCTGACCAATCACTCATCCAAGCAATAACCGGGACAAGCATCATGTTTTATGACAGCTGAGTCAAAAATATGGCATCTAGAGTGTTAACACGGTTTTTTCATATTTGAGCAGTGTGACCTAGTTTTTGACACCAGGTGACCCATATTCGAACTTCATCTAGAAATCATCAAAACAAATTTTCAAGATTTTTCTATTTTTAGCTCCTGTGACTTAGTTTACAATTCGAAATGACAAATGTTCGAACTCATCCAGGCAATATCCTAGACAAGCATCCTCACCAAGTCTGATGACAATTGAGTAAAAAATGTGTCCACAAGGGTTTTGCATATTTGGGTGGTGTGACCTAGTTTTTGACCCCCAGGTGACCCATATTCCAACTTGATCTAGAAATCCTCAAAACAAACTTTCAGACCAATTTCCAGGATATTTGGATGAAAACAGTAGCTACTAGAGTGTAATCAAGATTTTTCTATTTTTAGCTCCTGTGACCTAGTTTTTCATCCAAGATAACCCATGTTCGAACTCATTTGAGCAATTACCAAGACAAGCATCCTGACAAAGTTTGATGATGATTGAGGCAAACATGTGACCGCTAGAGTGTTAACGAACAAATGTGGATGGACGACAAATGACGGACATTCAATGATCCTAAAAGCTCACCCTGAGCTAGCCCAGGTGAGCTAAAAAGGACTATATGAAAATATCAGTTTCGTAATTTCTGTGATTAATATGTAATATGCTAGAAAAAGAATCAAATACTGGCTGTCATTGCAGACAGGAATATCTAGCTCTCTGGTAACTGTTAAGTGGAAATTCAACAGAACCGTCATAAACAGTTAACTCCCAGATAGATATTCCTGTCTGTACAGTGTGATATTTGTTTTTGTTAGTGAAGATGAAAAGTGAAAACAGTCTATTATCTCTTTTTGTGAGCTTTTTTTAAAAATATGTTTAAGTAACAGAAACACAGTACATGTGTGAGTCTAGCACATTGTGAATCATGCATTAAAGCAGCACGCCTCTAGATTCATGCTATTTTTCATGAAAAATTTGAAAATGTATTTGAATGAGTAATATTGTGAAGTATCTAAAAGGAAGCAATTTACACATTATCCATGGCCCTTAAAAACCACGTAAATTACCAAAAAGTGGTCAAAATATGCATAAATAGCCTTAACTGCGTTAGTAATGCAGTAGAAATATAGTTGTAAATACTGAAAATTCACTCATCAATCGCACATAATATGTAAAATATTACATGAATCTTTAAACTTTTTACTTTTCCTTACATCTAAATACATTTTTCTCAAGTTTGATTTCATTGAAATATTTTGACTCATCTGGAGGCATGTAGCTTTAAGGATCATAACTTCAGAGAAAATATATGAATCTTGTAATTCATTTGTAAAAAGCTGCAATCTATGGACCCTAAGACAGCCTTAAAATCCAAAGTACACTTTTGACCGTAAAGTCAGTCTGGAATCCCTAAGTTAGTCTTACTTGTGCTATCCTATGATGCTGTAGGTCTAATACTCTGGACACAGCCAGCTGTGTGCTTCCAAAAACTGCTACAACCTCCAGAATCTTATCATCAAAACTCGGAGCAGAAAATGTCTGAAACAACAACATTCTTATCTGATGAATTTTATATTTATAACATAAAAATAAACTTTATATTATTCAAAGATTACATCTCCATTTTAAAGCGTATCATTTGATAAATATTTCTGAAATAAAGAAAACAACAGAGCCACTGTTACCAAACTGTGTTATATTCTTGACCTTTTTCCCTGCCTGAACCATGATTAGCCTTTGCCACCAGTATAGAGCTGGGCCTTTGTTTTGTTTGGTTTTACGGTGCATGAACCACCACACCTGCTGGAGGGAAGAGATGCATAGACTCCAGTATTTCAAACCCATTTAGTCGCCTCTTACGATCACACAGGGATAAACAGTGGCTGCAATTCTGATGCCTCAACCCTTCACCACAAGGGGATAGAGCTGGGCCAGCCTGCTCATCTATGAAGTTTGATCAGGTTTTGCCAACTTTTCATCTTGATATCCTTTAAAATGATAATGGGCAGTTTCCAAAAAAGGAAGCTGGGCAAGTCCATTAAAGAAATTAAAGTAATGTAGGTTAAGTATTATTTAACATGTTATTCTTTCAATAAACAGTTAATATCATACCAAAAATGTTACAAAACTTACATCTACTTCCTTCGTACCACCCCAGAAGTTTGATCCACCTCCAAAACTGAAAAAAATACCCCATAAACATGTTTTATAAAGAATCCTCTTGTTTATAATAGTTTTATGTTCTTGACAGGCTTTTCATACATGAAATAATAGTATTTTGGTTCATTGGGAATATCGTTAATGGAATATTAACAAGAGCTATTGGTAGAACAGCCTGCTCTACTGTTCTCAGTGCTTGGCAGTAATAAAGAATTTTCTAATTTCAAAAGGGGCCATAATTCTGTCAGAATCTATGGCCTCCTACTATGCTCTCAACAAATATGTGTGTGTAGATTCAGCCAATTCCCTTCAGTGGTTTCTGAGATACTTAACTGCATGCAAAAACTGAACCAGTGTGACATTGATGATGAAGCCTGGTTGAGTTCAATGGCTCCCTATTCTCCAAGTAGTCAAGCTAAACATAAACAATTTATGCAATTATAGTGGGCCAGGACTTTTATTCTGCTCGGGGAATTATGTAAGCATGAAATCATTTAAATTCCTTCACAAATAATAGGTATTACATCATTAAGTATATTAAAGTAGACTTGCAACCTTTCCTATAGCTGGTAATTTTTAGATTAACTGCATTTAACAGAAAAATAAAATACCAAGGAATATTGCGGATGACAATTGCCTGAAGACTTTGAACAACCTAGTATTTTCTTTTCTTCTAGCAGAACAGTGTACAGATAAATCATTATTTTATTTTTTTTTGGTTTTACGTCACATTGACACAGTATAGGTCATATTGCAATGTTCCAACTTTACTGGTGGGTGAAGACCTCAGGTGCCCTTCCATGCATTATTTCAGGCACTAACAGGCACCTGAGTAGAACCACCGACATTCCTTAAGCTAGCTGGATAGCTTCCTCACATGAAAGAATCCAAAGTCCCTGTTGGGACTCGAACCCACAGCGGTGAGGGGCAAGTGGTTTGAAGTCAACTACCCTAACCACTCAGCCACGGACACCCCCATAAATCATTAAAACTTCTAAACAAATAATGGGTATAACACCACTCAATTTATTGAAGCAGAATTACAATATTTACAATTTTGATAAGTTTTACATAGGCTATATCTACCTGTAGAAAAAAATATATAAACATACCTTGGAATATTGAGGATAACTATTCCCTGAAGACTTGGTAGTGGAATTCGTTGCCCATCACATTCTAGTTGGACCCGTTGATCAAAGTTTTTATAAGTTTTTTGCAATATCTCCTTACCCCCTAATACGCCATACCACATGAGGTTCTTTGTTCTGCTCCTAAAACCCCGATTGATATGTTGTTACTTTCTCAATGGCTTAAACACTTTTAAGTTTAATCAAATTTTATTGTATATTACAGATAAAATTTCACAATTATACACAATTATACATAAATACATTAATGTAAATATGCAAAAGGGTCAATGGACCAAAAGTTATAACATAATCATGGGCTGTCCACTTTCAAATCAATCCGTACAATGAAAAGGTCATATGGCGACATTTCAGCTTTATTCGCGGAGGGAGACCTCAGGTGCCCTTCCATGCATTATTTAAGGCATGAACAGGCAGCTGAGTAGAACCACTGACAAATAATATGAAATCAGCAAAACTGAACCACCAAGCCACAAAAGACTATTAGAACAGGATAGCCCAATCACTTACTTTATTTAACCAACACGCAAGAAGGATTTGTAAATACTGTTTAAATGTATAACTTCACTAACCTGCATTTTTCTGGATGCTCGTCCCTTTTGTTCTGAAAGTCGAGTGTGATTTTTGCATCGAGACCTATACCTAAATAATTGTTCATCACACATTTCTCTGTGTACTCCTCACTAAAACAAAATAAAACTTATATAAATCTATTGCCTACCTTCTATATTTGCTGCCAGGACTGGCTGGTAGTGTTTTATTATCGTGTATTTGTTTATGTTTTAGAAACACAGGAATTTACTATTACAAATACATTTAGATGCTTAGTTTTCACTATGTTAATCATACATAAAAAATACATAAACTATCAACCCTTTAATGAATAAGAAATGAATAAAGTGGGTCCTGTAAACCTGTCTTGCTGGCAACAAAAACGTAAATAAATACAGGTATACACTTAATACACACACTCTTTTAACAAAGGAATTTTGACAAAGGAATATTTAACTTTAACCATTTAACCATCCTTCAAATATTTCCCATATTCACCTAAAATCTATATTTTGTTCTAGTCATAAAAAAAGTTTTTCTCAACTTACAGTGGAATTTCCTCTTCTAAGAGAGGTGAGGCAGCAGCACACAGGGCATCAGCATTTGCTAGTAACACTTTACTGATAAAACTTCCTCCAGCCAGCTTCCCTGCTATAGAGCTGCTTAAACCTGCAATGAGATAGCACCTCCCTTATTATAAGGTTCTTTGTCTTCAATCAGCATATTTCCAGTAACATAACTAGCATTGTATATATAAAATATAGACGCTCCCCCTCCTCCAGCCCCCACACACACAGTTGTCAGTCAGCAGATCATTTTACACACTAACAAGGGCAGATCTACTGCTTTTGCCACTGGTTTTTGTTAGCATTATTAATTCAAATTTTAAGATTAATTTTCACTTAACATTCATCGCTTGATTTCCTGGTGAAAATCATAGTTATATGCATAAATTATATAAGCCTGAAATCATGTTATATATGAAAATTTGCTATGTAGTCATTTTTGTTAACATATGATGATCAGCTTTGTTTATTCAAATTTAAAGCATTTCACAGTATATAAGCCCCTAAAATCTACAGACAGACCATAGGACATCATGAGAGACAGACAAATGCGAATCGATATGCCCCCCTCCCCCATCCCTAAGGGACATGAAAACAATAAATTCAGTAATATTTTGCATATAACATGAATGTATAGCATTATTTAAATGATGTGCTCTAAAAAGTTGGTAGCTTATTCTTTTTGTATTTCGCTGCTAAATTACTCAAACTTTGAATTGACTGTCTGCAGATTAACCTTTTCCCTTATATAACCGTGTTTCGACGGCTGTTTGCCCCCCCCCCCCCCCACCCCCTTTTTGAGGCCTCAAACAGTGAAAAAATGCCCAATTTAGACCCCAAACACTGTTTTCCGTTTGAGAAATGTTGTTAAAAAAGTGACCACTTTTTCGGCGCTGTCCCCCATCCAAATATAACATCAGGGGGTTGCCAGAAGGGGTATGTGCCCCCTTCTGTTTGGGGGGTTTGAAGGGGGGCGGAGTCCCCCTCATCGCCAAGAAAATTTTGGACATGTGACAGGCTAAAAATGGCCTCAGGTCGATCTTAGGGTAACTAGTAACTGACACTGAAAAGCCTTTTACTCTATCTCAATTCATTGAGAAGTTGCAGCACTTTGAAATCAGTTTTGATGGAAAAAAACAATGCGAAATAGTGATTTTTGGCAATTTTGAGACGTCCCCCCTTTGCCATGGTAACAGGAAATTTACGATTGAGCATGCTGTTACAGAGGCTATGGTGTAGTCAACATTTGTGCCAAGTTTCATTTGTATTGAAGCATTTTTCATAGTTTCATAGCAGTTTGAACTTGTTACAGGATGCTTTTCAATGAAAAAGGCCATTTTTAGCAATATGCTCATGGGGTAAAAGGTTAAGGGTAAATAACTGCTAAAGGTTATGGAAGTTTATTTTCTTTTGGATCTTTGTAACTCATCCTGAGGCATGCAGCTTCCGAGTGTAATACATATTCATTAGCCAGCAGTTGAAAATTCAAATAGTTGAGTACTTATGGACTCGAACCATCTGGTTAGCTCAATATATAGAGCGTTGGATTTTGAATCCGATGACCTGGGTTCGATTCCTTGACGTGCAGTTCACTTTCGTTGTGATTGATCATGAAATCCTTTCTAAGGTCATTAACACTGTACCTCTGTTTTGACATGTACAGAAGATCAACTAGACTGATTTACAGCCTGCCCAGGTATGATCTGGTGGCTGAACTGTCCACTGGTAAATTCAATATGGCTTACTAACATGATCCCCAACGTTAAACTACCAACACTACCACCACCACTTATGACCTTGACAAGCTTCTATTATCAATATTGGGGATATCAAGATGAAAATTCAATGTTGGTCAGCCAACAGTATAGAGCCTTATAATAACTGAAACTTTATAATTTCTGTTTTGTTAGTCTACTTATTTACATGATTGTGTTGTTCTGACAATTCTGACAGCCATTGTGGAATTTACTCTTTAACATAACATTTCTCTGCATGTTTTTATTATTAAAGGAATATGAGAAAACATATACATTCTTACATAAAAACTGTGCGTCCAGGTAAACATTAACAAAGAAGAAAACAAACATTAAAGGGATACTCAGGCAGATTAATGACAAAAATATTTTTAAATGATTTTATGTACTAAATCACACTAAAAATGACATTTTTCAAAGTCCAAGCATGAATTTCTGTATCAATTTCTATATATTTTGGGTTTGAAACATGAATGTATCTACATATGTTGAACAAAATTTAGACACTGACAGAATCACCAAGTGGTTTTAAAACAAGTCATGTGACTTCTACAAACCCTGGAATTTACAATAACAGATATTGTGGATATTTCATGATTGAAACAAGTGTAAGTCATTCATTTGACATATCCACTTTAACATTTCCAGAGTTCACTGTCACAAGTATTATGAAATCTCAACGCTCTTAACATGACCCACGTGGGTCAAGTTAGGAAACCACCATTTTATTCTTTATAAGGAAAACAGTTTTGTTCTTGTGATGGCCTAGTGTTTTAATATAGTGGACATTTACAGAATAATGAATGAAAAATTCAAATTTTGCCTGTGTCTCCCTTTAATGGATAGAGTTTTGTGACTGTGTATGTTGTTGCATTTTTATTTAGTTTTCGTGACTTAGGGCTCATTGTTATTACAGCTTAAGACAATGACAGTCCCGGTAGTTTTATTATCAAAACATAAAATCTAATTACATCATACTACAACCTGGAAAGCATGGCAATATGGTTCATTTATAACAAAACAAATGCAGAATTATTGATATAGACATATATACTCTAGACTTATTTAAATATTCCTCACCATGTGGGCTTAGACTCTGCTTCTGGAGATATTAATGCATGCAAAAAGGTACTTTACCCCTCTATTATATACAAAGACTCCAAGAACAAAGTGCAAAAATTTCTATTTTCAACAATACAGCATCAAATCTTTTTTTCTCAATATCTTGACCTTTGAAAAGTGTGTGAAAAATTCAAGTAAAACTTAGCAAAGAATTAATTTTTGCCTACTGATTTTTTCTTTGAAGGATACAATTTTTCTCTCAACAGACACACTTAATTTTGACCAAAAGTTGTGAAGATGTTAAACTTCAAATGGATTTTTCCGAAAATGCATTATTTGTTTATATGCAAATTATTTCATTTTTTTTTTTGGTCATATCTCTACGATTAGTCCACCTAATCAAGCCTCCAAGGTAAATAACCATTAATTTAAAATTCTCAGCATCAATTTCTCAAACAAATGATTATTATACAACACGATTTCTGAATCAGTGGTGACAGTACAAATGATCATTAGGAGTTGAAATTACACAAATCTGGAAGGTAAAGGGTAGAGAAAGAATCTTCCTGCAAACAATACATACTGGGTAGAATAGGATAATTTGCAAATGGATATGATGGGAGACCACTGTGCCGTGGAATGTTTTCTTTCACCGGCGGCTTGTAGTCGAGATTCGAACCAACACTTGCAGACTTGTTGAACGTTGACATGCTGCTGATACGCCGTGAGCTACTCACACAAGGTGATTGGGAACCATCTGGAAAAAGCGTGTTTCAAAACAAAACAAAAATAGACAACAAAACAAACATTTGCAAATAGAAAACATGTAGTGCAAATATGATGTTGATCGAGACATTAGTGCTTAAATATAACTCCCTAGATCACTCACCTTAGATCAACTTTTAGAAAAGGTCACAATTCCAAAAATTCAAAAGCAGGCACAAGAACCAGATGGGAGCCATTTTATTTTGTACATGAGGATCATTCAATGATCAAGATCAAAATGTAACATGTGGTTTTGGAAAAAATGCTGTTTAAAAACATTGTGGATAAGACAAACCACAGACAACATGCCATTTAAAAAAGCTCACATCTGAGCAATGTGTCTTCCGGTGGGCAAAAAAAAATTTAAAAAATCTCTTTTGTATTTTACAATTTTAAACATAGTTCATGAAACATTTTTATTACCAATCTTCTCAAAGCTTTACAGAATAGGATCTAGTTTCTTTACTGCTCTTAACCCTTTACCTCATACATACGCGAAACAACGCACTTTCGACCCCCCCCCCCCCACCCCCCCCTTTTGAGGCCTGAAATAGTGAAAAAATGTCCTATTTTGGCCCCAAACACGTTTTCTTTTGAGAATGTTGTTAAAAAAATGAGCACTTTTTCGGTGCCGATCCCATCCAAGAGATACATCAGGGGGTTGCCAGAAGGGGGATGTGCCCCCTTCTGTTTGGAGGAGTTGAAGGGGGGCGGAGTCCCCCTCATCGCCAAGAAAATTTGGGAGAGGCTAAAAATGACCCCAGGTCGATCATAAGCTAACGTGTAACCAACGCTGAAAAGCCTATAACTCTATCTCAATCCCTTGAGAAGTTGCAGCACTTTGAAATAAATTTTGATGGAAAAAATCGAGGCAAAATAGTGATTTTTGGCAATTTTGAGATGTCCCCTCTTTGCCATGGTAACAGGAAATTTAAGACTGAGCATATCGTTACAAAGGCAATGGTCCAGTCAACATTTGTGCCAAGTTTGATTAGTATTGAATCATTTTTCATAGCTTCATAGCAGTTTGAATTTGTAATAGGAGGCTTTTCAGTGAAAACGGCCATTTTTCACAATATGCTCATGAGGGAAAGGGTTAAACGATATCACAGAGAAGGTCCCAAAGGAATTGCTTACATACTTTTATGTAAAACATATGGACAATAAACTGCACATTTTAGGCCACAATATTTAAGAAATGGCTTTTACTGTTGGAAAACTGCAGCAATTGTTCTCTTTTGGCTACCCAATTTTTAATTGTACCCCCCCCCCTCCCCCGCCCCCTCTGATTGAATAGTCAAACTGGCCTAACCCTGAGCCAATACTGAAAATATGACAATATCCTTGATAATGGAGAGTTTAATAATGTTTACAAACAGATAATATAGTGTAAAAAGAGACTATCACAGACCACAGATGTCACAATAATCTTCATACTATCATTACCCAAACATTTTCACACCTAACATTCAGAAGAAGACAAACTAGAACTGCCACTATGATGGCGTGAATACCCCCGCATACCACTTTGTCAGAATCAACAGTGGCCATTTAAAGCTCAAGGACAACCTCCCTGCCAAATCTGAGGTTACTAAGCCAGTGCATTGCTAAGTTATGTATTCTACATGCTTCAAATGTGAAAATGTCAAAATCAATACATTGCGGACAGGACATTCTTTAGCAATTGAGAAGAAAAGCTTTTTTTTGTCAAGGTCCCTGTGACCTTGACCTTTGACCCAGTGACCTCAAAATCAATAGGGGTCACCTTATAGTCATGATCAACATCCATGCCAAATATGAAGACTGTGGGTTAAAGGAATCTTAAGTTAATGGGCGGACAAGCTTTTTGAAGTCAAGGCCCCTGTGACCTTGACCTTTGACCTGGTGACCTCAAAGTCAATAGGGGTCATCTACTAATCATGACTAAGCTCCATGCCAAATATGAAGACTGTGGGTCAAAGGAATCTTAAGTTATTGGGCGGACAAGCTTTTTGAAGTCAAGGCCCCTGTGACCTTGACCTTTGACCTGGTGACCTCAAAGTCAATAGGGGTCATCTACTTATCATGACTAGCTTCCATGCCAAATATGAAGACTGTGGGTCAAAGGAATCTTAAGTTATTGGTCGGACAAGCTTTTTGAAGTCAAGGCCCCTGTGACCTTGACCTTTGACCTGGTGACCTCAAAGTCAATAGGGGTCATCTACTAATCATGACTAACCTCCATGCCAAATATGAAGACTGTGGGTCAAAGGAATCTTAAGTTATTGGGCGGACAAGCTTTTTGAAGTCAAGGCCCCTGTGACCTTGACCTTTGACCTGGTGACCTCAAAATCAAAAGGGGTCATCTACTAATCACGACTTACCTCCATGCCAAATATGAAGACTGTGGGTCAAAGAAATCTTAAGTTATTGGGCGGACAAGCTTTTTGAAGTCAAGGCCCCTGTGACCTTGACCTTTGACCTGGTGACCTCAAAATCAATAGGGGTCATCTACTAATCATGACTAACCTCCATGCCAAATATGACGACTGTAGGTCAAAGGAATCTTAAGTTATTGGGCGGACAAGCTTTTTGAAGTCAAGGCCCCTGTGACCTTGACCTTTGACCTAGTGACCTCAAAATCAATAGGGGTCATCTACTAATCATGACTAACCTCCATGCCAAATATGACCACTGTAGGTCAAAGCAATCTTAAGTTATTGGGCGGACAAGCTTTTTGAAGTCAAGGCCCCTGTGACCTTGACCTTTGACCTAGTGACCTCAAAATCAATAGGGGTCATCTACTAATCATGACTAACCTCCATGCCAAATATGAAGAGTAAGGGTCAAAGGAATCTTAAGTTATTGGTCGGACAAGAAAAAACCGACGGACGGCCGGACAGCCGGACGGACGGACGGCCGGACAAGCTGATTCCAGTATACCCCCCTTACAACTTTGTTGTGGGGGGGGTATAATGAGCCGCGTCATGACAAAACCAACATAGTGCGTTTGCACCCAGCATTGATCCAGACCAGCCTGCACATCCACGCAGTCTGATCAGGATCCATACTGTTCGCTATCAGTTTCTCTACTTGTTATAGAGTTGTTAGGGGGAAAGGCGCGGATGCGCAGGCTTGTCTGGATCCATGCTGGTCGCAAATCCATTATGTTGGTTTTGTCATGACGCGGCTTTTAATATAAATTACAAAAATAGTGAGAGAATGAGACAAAAAGTGCATTAGAAATGTGCACAATGAAGAAAATAGGCTTTGCACTTACCAAATTTTTTTATCTCAATTTCGGGAGATTTTTGTCCTACCTCCGAGGTAAAAACAGAAAAGCTAGGTGCTGAACGCGAGTTAGGGCTGCCAGCTTGAAGACCACATTGCTTGAACGGCTCAACAAGATCAACAGAGCTGCCAGAGGAGCCGCGTAGAAGCCGACTTTGTTCCACGGTCTGTGCATTTTGTTCGTCCACAGCTATTTAAACAAAAATCACAAATTTTTTGTGGTATATTCAGACATGAAATCAGCAAATAAATAAATAAACTATTCATTTATGATTCACTAATACAATTATCTCCGCATTTCAATATCTCAGCATATAAAGAGAAAAACTTGTTTAACACAAGACCTGTCCACAAAAAGCTCTCCACTTTTCTTATTGCTGGATAGTAAATTGCTTGATAATCAACAAATATTTCAAGTTTAAAGTGAATACCTTTGACAGTTTTTGAAAAAGATGTAAATATTCTATGTTAAAAAAGGGAAATAGCCAAGATGGCTTTCTGGATTGTTTGCTTCTTAGAAATGCATTGAAAATTTTAAAAGTGAACAAGTATTCCAAATATGCCACTTTCAATGTCTATATCAGTGGGTTTGACTTACCTCGCTCTGTATGCTCAATGATCTGCCGGATTGCTTTCTTCAAACTGTTTGCTCGGGACATAAGTGCATCTCTTGGCTTAAATATTGTCTGCAAAAGTTTAGAAATATTTACAAATGTATAATTTAGATAATGAAAACAGCTTTTGATTTCTATGACACTGATACTTAACAATAATTGAACACAAGTTTCCGAGGCAATGTCAACAAGATATGTTTGTAAAACATGTATGCCCCCTATCAGCAGCCAATTATTCATGTGATAAGGTAATTATGCATGACTTTTGACCCAGTGATCAAACAATTAATAAGGGTTATCAAGTATCTACTGGTCATGACCTTGACCTTTGACCCCTTGACCCAAAACTCAATAGGGTCATCTGCTGGTCAAGACCAATCATCATACAAAGTTTGAAGTTCCTAGACCTAAGCGTTTTTAGTTAATTGATCAGAAACCGTTTTTACCTACAAGGTCAATGTGACCTTGACCTTTGACCCCTTGACCCCAAAATCAATAGGGGTCATTTGCTGGTCATGACTAATCACCATGCCAAGTTTGAAGTTCCTAGGCCTAAGGGTTCTTTTAATATTGATCCGAAACCGTTTTAACATACAAGGTCAATGTGACCTTGACCTTTGACCCCAAAATCAATAGGGGTCATCTGCTGGTCATGACCAATCACTATGCCAAGTTTGAAGTTCCTAGGCCGAAGCGTTCTTAGTTATTGATCAGAAAACCGTTTTTACTTACAAGGTCAATGTGACCTTGACCTTTGACCCCTTGATCCCAAAATCAATAGGGGTAATGTGCTGGTCATGAAAAATCACCATACAAAGTTTGAAGTTCCTAGGCCTAAGCGTTCTTAAGTTATTGATCAGAAACCGTTTTTACTTACAAGGTCAATGTGACCTTGACCTTTGACCCCTTGACCCAAAACTCAATAGGGGTCATCTGCTGGTCACCACCAATCATCATACAAAGTGTGAAGTTCCTAGGCCTAAGCGTTTTTAGTTAATTGATCGGAAACAGTTTTTACCTACAAGGTCAATGTTACATGACCTTTGACCCCTTGACCCCAAAAACAATAGGTCATCTGCTGGTCATGACCAATCACCATACCAAGTTTGAAGTTCCTAGGCCTAAGGGTTCTTAAGTTATTGATCGGAAACAGTTTTTACCTACAAGGTCAATGTGACCTTGCCCTTTGACCCTTAACCCAAAATCAATAGGTGTCATCTGCTGGTCATGACCAATCACCATACCAAGTTTGAAGTTCCTAGGCCTAAGGTTTTTTAGTTATTGATCGGAAACCGTTTTTGCTTACAAGGTCAATGTGACCTTGACCTTTGACCCCTTGACCCCAAAATCAATAGGGGTCATCTGCTTGTCATGACCCATCACCATACCAAGTTTGAAGTTCCTAGGCCTAAGGGTTCTTTAGTTATTGATCGGAAACTGTTTTTATCTAAGAGGTCAATGTGACCTTGACCTTTGACCCCTTGACCCCAAAATCAATAGGGGTCATCTACTGATCATGACCAATCACCATATCAAGTTTGAAAGTCCCTAGGCCTAAGGGTTCTTTCGTTATTGATCGGAAACTGTTTTTACCTACAAGGTCAATGTGACCTTGACCTTTGACCCTTAACCCCAAAATCAATAGGGGTCATCTGCTGGTCATAACCAATCACCATACCAAGTTTGAAGTTCCTAGGCCTAAGGGTGCTTTTGTTATTGATCGGAAACCGTTTTTACCCAAGAGGTCAATGTGACCTTGACCTTTGACCCCTTGACCCCAAAATCAATAGGGGTCATCTACTGATCACGACCAATCACCATACCAAGTTTGAAGTTCCTAGGCCTTAAGGTTCTTTACTTATTGATCGGAAATTGTTTTTGCTTACAAGGTCAATGTGACCTTGACCTTTGACCCCTTGACCCCAAAATCAATAGGGGTCATCTACTGATCATGACCAATCACCAAACCAAGTTTGAAGTTCCTAGGCCTTAAGGTTCTTTAGTTATTGATCGGAAACCGTTTTTGCTTACAAGGTCAATGTGACCTTGACCTTTGACCCCTTGACCCCAAAATCAATAGGGGTCATCTACTTGTCATGACCAATCACCATACCAAGTTTGAAGTTCCTAGGCCTAAGGGTTCTTTAGTTATCACTCGGAAACCATTTGGTCTACGGACCGACGGACCGACAAGTGCAAAGCAATATACCCCCTTTTCTTCGAAATGGGGGCATAATTACAAAATTTTATTTTATCTTTTTTAAATATATATATATTTTTTTTTATTCATTTATACACATTCACGATTAAGCAGGCAGACATACTAATCAACAAGTGTATTTATAAACCATCAATACACCCAATAAAGAGGCTAGCAACAGATCATCAGGTTTTTATAATTCACTATTTGTTATACAGCACTGTGTCAATAATGCACCAATCAGATGTAACTAGGCCCAACCAACCCAGATAACAGCGAGGTCTTTGAGGTTTTTACTAAAATTCCAAATGTTTGCCATCATACTCGGACTTGAGAATATCCCTACAATTCTTGTACCAAACTACAGTGACCTGGCACTGTAGAAACAGGTAAATACCGTACATATTTCCCCTCATTTCTCCCCACTTCCCTGCAGTTAGGGGCCAGAGTTACAAAAGACTGGCACATTAATTTTATTAATTTATACATACAGGTTTGGGCTTCATGCTGGATGCCAATGGACCCTGAACCCTCACTCTTTCCTTGCTAGTCCGTCCTCCTTCCCGCCCATCAAACGTTACTTCACGGTTGTCATGGTGCCTGCTGTGCCTAGCAATGCCCCTTTTTCTTTTCTCAAAACTAGCACTAGTTCTATTGCCCTTGGAAACAGAGCTATTATTTGTGTCCATGGCAACATAAGAGTTTCTATTATCACTATCAGATAATCTATTGTCCATTGGAAATGGAGGATTGTAATTTTCATTGTCGATGTCTTGGTTGTCATTGGTCACATGGTTGTCAGGGGTCAACCTGGGGTCAGATGAATTACTATCTGGATCATTATGCACAATGACGTCATCACTGTCCAGCTGAAATAGAAAAAAAGGTTTAGATGGCATAATTCTACTCTGTGTTATTCTTAACAATTTACATCCATTTAATATGATCAAAGCATATCTGCACAATACTCTTATGCAATCAAATATTTGAATACAACAAAATTATATTTTTCATAACTTAAACGTGAAATTAAGGTGTCCTTGGACAAGCAGTTAAAGTTAATGACTTTGAACCACTTTGCCCTCAACGCTGTAGGTTCAAATCCCACTACGGACTTTAGATTCTTTCATGTGAGGAGGCAATCCAGCTAGCTTACAGAGAATTGATGGTTCTACTCAGGGGGTTCATTTGTGCCTGAAATAACGCACAGATGGGCACATTAAGTCTTCCTCCACAAGTAAAGCTGGAAATTCAACATATCACCTCTATTGTGTTGGTGTCATGCCAACCTATTCCTCCACCCCCCACACATACACACAAAATAAAATCTGTGAATTTATCAAATATAATGGACTATTATATAAACGATATTGAATGTGTGTAGGTTTAACACTAAATATATTGAATGAGTAAAATCATTTTATGCGAGCATTATATTGTTTTATTCAACAATTTCAATAAATTAAGTATTGAATTTGCATGAATATAATATTCTATTTATCACATATTTAAAATAAGAATGGTTAACTGTTAAAAAGAGAATTTTTCGCTGACATGCCTATAGTGTAACGCTAACATTAGCACGCTTAAACACTATGTTTATAGCGCAAAAGATGTCACAGCAAAGTTTTATTACACTAGCGTAATATCTTTTCATTAAATGACTTTATTACACTTGATTTGTTAAAAAAATTTGTGATCAAAACTTTCTCAAGGTTAATCCTAGCAAAACTAAGGTTATGGTTTTTAAAAAGGGGGGGGGGGACTAAGTATGCATGAAAAGTGGTTTTTTGATGATAATAGATTAGAAACTGTATCAAAGTTTTCATATGTAGGCAACACTTTCACAAGCAAACTGTCTTTTCCTTATCAAAGTATCAAAGCTAAAACGAGTTCTTACATCTATTCTAAGCAAATTGTATGAGTATGGACAACTTCCAAAACATGTACTTTTCGAAATATTTGATACAAAAATCAGTCCAATTTTGTTATATGGGAGCGAGATCTAGGGTGCTAGTGAGCAAAAATTTACTGATTCCATTCAAAATTATGCATGTAAAAGATATATGTGGCTTAGTCAAAAAACAATTAATATAGCTATTTCGGGGAATTGCAGCAGATATCCAATGTTTATTACAACTGCTAAAAGAGTTATTAAATATTGGTGTAGAATCTTAAAAATGGATGAACAAAGATATGTAAAAACAAGAGCTGTCGGTAGGACAGCAACGCTCGACTATTCTTAGTGCTTGATAGTAAAAAAAATGCTTGATAGAGTTACCTCCTCCTGTTTACAGGTTGGGGTCATGATGGTGAACAAGTGTGCAAAGTTTCAAAGCCATATGTCAATGGACTTTGAAAATATTTGATATGTCAATGGACTTTGAAAATATTTGAACTATTACAAAAACTTTAACGTAAATTCTAAGTCGAAAAAGGGGCATAATTCTGTCAAAATGCTTGATAGAGTTACCTCCACCTGTTTCCAGGTTGGGGTCATGATGGTGAACAAGTGTGCAAAGTTTCAAAGCCATATGTCAATGGATTTTGAAAATATTTGAACTATTACAAAAACTTTAACGTAAATTCTAAGTCGAAAAAGGGGCATAATTCTGTCAAAATGCTTGATAGAGTTACCTCCACCTGTTTCCAGGTTGGGGTCATGATGGTGAACAAATGTGCAAAGTTTCAAAGCCATATGTCAATGGACTTTGAAAATATTTGAACTATTACAAAAACTTTAACGTAAATTCTAAGTCGAAAAAGGGGCATAATTCTGTCAAAATGCTTGGTAGAGTTACCTCCTCCTGTTTACAGGTTGGGGTCATGATGGTGAACAAGTGTGCAAAGTTTCAAAGCCATATGTCAATGGACTTTGAAAATATTTGAACTATTACAAAAAACTTTAACGTAAATTCTAAGTCGAAAAAGGGGCATAATTCTGTCAAAATGCTTGATAGAGTTACCTCCTCCTGTTTACAGGTTGGGGTCATGATGGTGAACAAGTGTGCAAAGTTTCAAAGCCATATGTCAATGGACTTTGAAAATATTTGAACTATTACAAAAACTTTAACGTAAATTCTAAGTCGAAAAAGGGGCATAATTCTGTCAAAATGCTTGATAGAGTTACCTCCTCCTTTCTACAGGTTGGGGTCATGATGGTGAACAAGTGTGCAAAGTTTCAAAGCCATATGTCTATGGACTTTGAAAATATTTGAACTATTACAAAAACTTTAACATAAGTGGTTACGCTGACGCCGACGCCGACGCTCGGGTGACTGCAATAGCTCTACTTATTCTTATCGAATAGTCGAGCTAAAAAGCATACAATATGATGAAATGTTTTGATAACTATGGACAAAAAAATTGGGTTACATATGTTAAAAATTTACTTATGAGAAATTGATTTGGGCAAATTTGGCTAGACCAGAGTGTACCCAATGAAAAGTTATTCCTTCATCAATTTACTCTTAGACTTAAGGATCAGTATCTTCAAACTTGGCATTATGATGTGGGAAATAGTTCTAAACTGTCATTGTATGCAAATTATAAGTTAACTTTTGAACATGAAATATATCTGGATTGTGTAACAATTAAAAAATTTAGAAATGCATTGGGTAAATTAAGGACCTCTTCACATGACTTAGAAATAGAAAGAGGGAGGTATTCTAACACTGAAAGAAATCAAAGAATATGCAAACTTTGTAATACTGAAATTGAAACTGAATTTCATTTTGTTTTAAAATGCCCCAGATTAACCTCTTTTAGAGAGAAATATATCCCATCTAAATTCTATCTGTCCCCTAATAATAATAAGTTCAATATTTTGATGTCATCGAAAAATGTAGATATTATAATGCGATTGGCTGTGTTTGCATATTGTGCTTTTCAAGAACGTAAAATGTTGCTAAATGATATTGTTTAAATATGTAATTATTTATGTATCTACACATTTGGCGGGTAAATACTACACATATATGTTAAAATAGTTTATTTCTGTCACTTTATATACATTTATACTAGTATGTACTTATAAATTGTATTGGATCTATATAGTACACTGGCACTACATCATGTCATGCTTGTAAATGTATATGTTTTGTTGATATGGGCCGGAGGCCAAAATTAAATAAATCTTTTGTCATTGTCATTGTCATACACTCCTGTGCTGTCGTTTATATGATAAAATGAATTTTTCCACCCGGACATGTAATAGAAATGTAGAATTTACCTGTGATGAAGCTTGAGCCTCTTCCTTCAATGTATTGAGCAAACTTTCCAATTTCTCGTTTAGTATAGCACACTAGAAATATAACACAATCATTAAGTAAAGCACACTAAAAATATAACACAATATTGTCATACAGTTTCATTAATAACAACTAGTTCCATATAAACTCCACAGTACCTTTACAATTTTTACTTAGATTTGATTAAATTCATTCACTTATATTGATTGCAATGAAATGACTGACCCCTTTTAAACCATGTTGAGTTTATTGTCTAAAATAGCTACAATAATAGTTAAAGTAAAGCCTTAACATTTATAATGCTGGAATGGAAACTGATTAAATTTTGCCACCAGTGTAGACCAAGGCTATCAACCACAATCACAATCTGACTTAGCCCTATATTCTTGGCTGACTTAAATTTTCATGTTGATATCCCCAAAATGATAATGGGCAGTTCTAAAATTGAAAGCTGGACAAGTCCATTTATTAAATTCAGAAGATTAGGGCAAGCTAGCATGTAACATTACTATGTACTATAAACATGATTGCTTGGTATGGAAATATCTAAATTGAAAGCAAAACAAGTCTATTTAATACATTCAGCAAAGAAAATGGAACAAGAGCCATGTCAACATGGCCATCCCCCACCGAATGTGTTTGCTCATTGGAAGAATGTATATGTAGTAGAGCAGAATAAATCAATTTTAAGAGGTCTTTTGGTAATGAAAACTGATAGCTGATGTGATTACAGATTTGAAACCTATATGAATACTGATGGCTGAAAATAACAAAGGGCAATAACTGAAAAAATAATGCAGGGTAGGTTATCATTCTTGTGTGCTGCACCCCTCCTCAGTAAAATCTATCCACCTATGAAGTTCCAAGTTGATACCTCAAATACTTTTTCAGATAAGCTCTGGACAAAATAGTATGAAAAATAACAAAGGACAATAACTCAAATATTTAATAGGGAAGAGTTATCATTCTTGTGCACAGCATTCCTCCTCAATAAGATCTATCCACCTATGACATTTCATGTTGACATCTCAAACATTTTTGAGTTATGCTTCACTCAGGTGAAAAATTAAGTATGAAAAATAACAAAGGGCAATAACTCAAAAATTATGAAAGGTAGAGTTATCATTCTTGTGCACTGCACACCTCCTGAGAGTTATGGGCCTTGGAAACTAACCTATTAAACTCTCAAATAAGTGTGTGCAGTTTTAATCCATTCCCTTCAGTAGTTTTGAAGATACTAACTTATACACAAAAACTTAACCAAAGAGCTTCGCCGACCCTTGGGCAATTACAATTATAGCTCCCTTTTCTTCCAATATTTCAGCTAAAAAAAATGCAACCTTTGTTTTTTTTTCCAGCTCAAATGAAAGATTAAATGTAGCCCTGACCTTATCAGCTATATCCAGGTCATCACTTTTCTCACTGTGTGCCTTCCCGACCTTCGCCACAAAATCCTTCACAGTCTCACATAGTACTCTATAATATATACGTGTGATAATGTTAACTGATAGAACAGAACAATAATGAGCAATAATGATTTGCTTATAACAGCAGTATTGTCAGGCCAACCTGTGTATCCATTTATACCGATGACCATTCAATTAACACTTTGAAATACTGGCATCAGTTAAAGGGACACCACTGAGGTTTTTTGACATGACAAGACTGAAAGTTAATTTTTTTAGACTAATGTTTAATTTGATGTAGGTCTAGACCGGTTTTGTTTGTTTGTTTGTTTCATTTTACACCTTTTACCAACAGTATTTCAGTCATATAGGCTGGTAGTTTCCTAACCATCGTTCCTGGAGAGTTACACCAGTACTAAACTACCTTCCTCTGCTCTAAACTACCAAAGTATCTCCCGGGGATCAAACCCACGCCAGAGAGGTAACTGGATTATAAGTCATCGGCTCTAACCCCTCCACCATGGAGGCAGTTATGTCTAGACCGGTAACTTGTGTTCAAGCGTTCACTCCATTATTTTCTTCACAATAATTATTTTAATTGTGAAAATAATCCAAAAATGAAAACTGTTGCAATGTTTTTTTCCATCAAATTGACTAAGAATTGCCCAAAAATACAATTTTCAATGTATATCTGAGTATATTTCTTAATTGTGTTTTTTTTTTTAACATATCTTTCCCTTCTAAATGCCCCAGCTGATCCATGTAAAAAATTAAATATTTCTTATGTTTTTTGGACTTCAGTAGAGTTCCTTTAAAATAATACCAGAACTTAGCAAATACTAAGCATGGCAAGCAGTTCTTTTTACAAAAATCAGGTTTTGTACAGCTTGCCTAACCTGAATTTCTTGTGTTTGTCTGACATTGGAATGTTTATTACAGCACAACCTCTGCATAGCAACAGGAGACAAAGACTGGTTGTTATGGAGAGGTGATGTTTTAGATTATTAATTAATATACTATGGAGTCTTACTTTTGGGAAAAATTGATTTTGTTGTTGTAAAAGAGGTTATTGTTCAGCAGAGGTGGCACTTTAGATTATTGTATCATTATTTACTTACTTTGCAGAGGATATAACTACAGAATGGTCTTCAGAGTGTAGAATTTTTGACAGGTGATTTGCCACGGAATCTTCATACTGCGAAATAGGGTCAAACTGAAATATAAAATCATCATAGAAGTATATTTTTCTTTCAATACAAGTTCAAAATGGGTAATAATTCTGTCAAAATCCATGTTACAGTTATTAGTCTTGAATAGTGACCTTCTATTATGCACTCAAAAAAATTTGTGATGTTTCAACCAATTCCCTTCATTAGTTGAAGAGATACCAACTTGCATGCAAAAACTTAACCAAAGTGGGATGGCAATGCCATGAGTAAAATAGCTTCACCTATTCTTTGGACTGCTCAAATTCAAAGCTATGCATATAAATTACACAAATAGTTTCAATATTCGTAAAAGATTGACATGTGCCTATCTTTTTAGTTCTGACAAAACTCTCTAATGTTGTCTTTTAATACTGAAATCTTTTAAACTTCTAATGGACTCTTTTGGATTCAGAGTAGGGTGGCTCACTATTTGTATCATTATAACAGGGCAAGGGTAAATATATCCACTGATACTTTCTTTCTCAACATGAATGTAACTAAAATATTGTCAGAAACTGGTGGTGTCTTGTCCAAAAAAAATAATACCAAAACATTATTATATTAGAATTATAATTAAGTATAATATTGAAAAGTAAAGGTTGTTTTTTTTTGTTTTTTTTATATGTTTTTTTTTTTGCAAAACTTACCTGTTGTGAAAGTTTTCTGGGAGGAGGCATGTAGCCTTCATAAGTCCATATACTCCATCTGAAAATATAACACAAATCATTCATGTAGTTGACAGTTCCAAAAATGGAAGGCTGACAAGTCCATTTACGAAATTCAGCAGGTCAAGTTATGAAGTTGTTTCCAAAAACTTTACCCCATTACCCAAAGTGTCAATGTTGATTCCTTTCTAACTATTGCTTATTTATCTGCCAACTTAGGTGGATTGGTCTACACCGGGCCAACTTTCCATATGTAATTTGAATATTGATAAAAACATAAGAAATGTATCATTAGGATATTATAAGAAAATATTTCTTAAATAAAAAAATAAAGATGATTAAACTTTTAAGTGATTTAGTATGAGCATTTATATGATGAATAATTGTATTTTGTTGATCATCTTATTATCTTCTATATCCTGAATACTTTCAACATCATAATTTATTGTATTACAGAACTTCTATTATAGACAAATTCACTTTAAGAAACTACCAGCTTTTTGCAAACATAATAAAACCCGTCATTTTTTTTAGTTGAGTTTTACATTGCACCAACACAGTAAAGGTCATATGGTGACTTTCCAGCTTTACTAGTGCAAGAAGACCTCAAGTGCCCTTCCATGAATTATTTCAGGCACAAAGTAGTAGTACCTAAGTAGAACCATCTGACATCCAGCAAGCTAGCTGGATATCTTCCTCACATGAAAGATTTCAAAGCATTGAAAGAAGGCCACTAGTAATTACCTGTCTAACATTTTAATCTGTGAATGTTCAAGCTTCTCTAATATTGCTGGTAACTGAGTATCATCGTCAAACGCAGATCCCCAGCCCAGTACCCGTGCTAGATCATTACCCGTGCCAAACGGCAAAACTCCAATCTGACACTGAAAATATATATATGCTTCATTGTTCAAAGTTTATTTACACAGTTTTCAGTTAAAAAAAGCCAAAACATTTTTTATGAATATGCATTTTTGTTTGGTCATGGATAAAAATTATTTTTAATACTTTAAGTTTGTAAAACCCGGCTTTCATTGGGTAATCTTTAAAGTTATTTAAAAAACATTTAAAAAGTTTTAAATTAGAAAAAGCCCAATGTGAAAAGGGGGTTTTTTTTTCTCTTTTGTGTAAGATAAGGGTAATCATGAATTTTTTTTTTTTCTCTCTAGAGATAATTTGAAAAGTATGCCATGTACATAGCTAAAAGAATATAAACTAATAAAAGTGATTTTTCCATTACAAACTATATATTCTGTTAAGTGACTGAATAAATCAGTCTATAAAAAAAATACAATATGGGATTTATATATAATTCAAGATATTTTTACAACTGAATGTCTCGAAACATTAGCAAATTCAATGTATATCATGGAAACTACATGTAGTATTCCACAACAACTAGATCTAATGTACTAAGAGGATCCCCTACCTGTCTGTGTAGATCCATTTTATCAATCTCTGAAAGAACCCAGCCTATACTACCATCACCTCCACATACAAGAATTCGAAACTGGTCAAATTTTTGGAATAACCGTAATCTGGAAAAATAAACAAAATTTTTTTGTAAAGCAGCATGCACATGAAATTATGAAAATGTAATAAAATGTAAAATATTGTCAAGTGACCAAAGAAAGTAATTACTGCGAATTCACTTATATTCGTGGGCATGAAAGTTCATGGTTTTATCAAAACGGGCATTTTCGTGGATTCTTAAATTCGTGGATTTTCATTTTCTTGTTAAAAAAAAATTCAGTAACCTAATGCAAAGTAATCTTAATAGCCAAACATTTTTACTTACAACATGTACATATCTTTACTTGTCACACAGCGGTTGTCAATAAATTTAATCCTTGCCTCTGGGCATAACTCTAATACAGCACAGTTACTGTCGATAATTGACTGCAATTAACACATTTATGTGACATGATATGCACCTCCATTGGACACATGCCCCTGTAATTCGCCGATGTAAACATCGCATAATTTATACGACACCTGGGCACGTTTTAACAGCGAGTTTAAAAGTTTACACTTTACATATTTGACAGTAACTACACGCAACGTCACAGCGACTGTGTAAATTTACATGCATATAAATTATTCTCGGTAAATAACACGAGTATATGTGGATCTTGTAAAAGTCGGTGGCGAATAGCATTCGCACAAATACAGATTAAAATTCATATAAACTGAATCATTTAAAAACAACAAAAGAAAGTACAATGAATCTGTTTTAGCGATCGTATTTTTTATAGTGTTGTGTACTTACGACATTAATGTCAAAGACTTTTTTTTTAAATTAATAAGAGCAAACTGACAATTTTTATTAGCGCTAATTATTGCACTGCCTCGGTTCCCATATTTACGCGATTATGTCAAGTATTCTTGTTAACACAATCAAGTCCTAGTAGACTACAACGATCAAGTATGTATATGCGACATTTGTGACAGTAAATTGAGGACATATTATCGAGTTTTCTTTCAAGTTTTCTTAAATATTGCAAACGGATTTAATATGTCACTAACCTGGTCTTATCTGTCTGTACTTATATTTCATTTCACGAAATATCGGCCGGAAAAGAGCCGATGCATGTTTGTAATATATAGAACAGAGACAGGGTAAGAAGTATTTGTTGGGATAAAAGTTCATCGGATCTTAAATTCGTGGATTGACCTACCCACGAAAACCACGAAAATTCGTGCCCCACGAATAATAATGATTTTACAGTAACACATTGCAAACAGCACTTTCAATCCACATAAATTACCTATATAGGTCAAAATATAGCAAAAACAGCCTTTTTTTGTCTTAGTCACTCCGTAGAAATATTATGATAAAACAGCAAAATAGATCATTCATTAATTACACAAAACATGTAAATAATTGTTTGAATAGTGAATATTTTTACTTTTCTTAAAATCAAAGTTAACTTTTCTCAAAGTTGATTTTCTTGAAATGTTTTAGCTCATCTGGCATGCAGCTTTAAATACTAAACAACAAACTGTATAATGTTGTCTATCAATCTTCAGCTTTAAAGAGACTCTTATTAAGATTTTAACATAATAGGATTAGTGGGATTAGAAATATTTTTTCAAGATTTATGTTCTGTTTGAAGAAATTATAAACTTATAATTGTGTTCAAAGCTTTTATAGCATTCACTCACTATGTTTATCCAGAAAAATTTTTTGATTGTAAACAAGAGCACGGCAAGTGGTTTTAACATTTGTCTGTTAAAAAGTTCTAAGTTAAAAAGGGGCAGTGTTTGAGATCTTGATAGTAAAACAAGAGCCTGGTTAATGTAGAATTTTCTAAGTTCAAAAAGGGCGCTAATTCTGTCAAAATCCATATATGAGTTATAAGCCTTGGACAGTAAACTCATGTTATAATCTCAAATAAGTGTACACTTTAACCTACAAACCAAATTACTTTACACTGATTAGAATACTACAGATTAACCGTTAGGTAACATTTAATGTTTCACATGTCACAAGTCAAACATTACACAAGAGTTACTTACCCTGGATGAGGTCCGCCATTCATTAAATCAAAAACTTGTGCTGGATTGAGTAGCTGTTTAAATCTTCTTAGAAATTTTACACCCTGCAAAATATACGTAAGTTTTCTCATATTATAAAGACATACATGGTAATTACTATAATAAATCTTATAATTTTTGAAAAATATGTCAGTATGCTTAAAAATTGTATAATAAACACTCATAAAAGTGACATTATGCCCATCTATGCATAAATGGTGAGTGCAAAGGTTAAATTCAAGAAAATTTAACATATTGCCGTAATTATTTTTTTGTTTCTTTTTTTTCTTTTAATTTTGTAATCTTCTTTGCAAAACTGATCAATAGCCCACCTGACTCAAGGACACTTTTATATATATCCTTCAGAATGTATCTGTAGCATTCAATTGATAAATTGAAACAGGTAGTCTTTTTATGTCCCGGGCAGTTTTTATATTTTATCCTAAACATTTCTTATTTTTCTTATCTTTGGCCAATAACCATTATAAAAGTCAGTATTTTTGAAATATATAATCTATTAAGCTCTATTTGATAACAAAAATAATGAGCATAAATTCACTCTAGGCATAGATTCAATAATATAACTTGATTGTAAACACCTGGTCAATTTTACATAAATATTTATTTCTTAATTTGATTGACTGATGGATTAATTGATTAACTGACTGCTTGACTGAACAGGTGACTTACAGATTGATTAATTAATTGCTTGGTTGATAAGTTGACTGCTTGAATGATCAATGGACAGCCAATTTCTCAAAATAAATCAACACTTGATTCTCCTTTTTTCAGGTTTCAGAATCTCGACATAATATGGCAAGTGATTAAACAAATTTAACGTTGTTCATTCTACTACAAAGTGACAAAATGACCTTGTAACTAGACCTATTTAGTGTTGTTCATTTCACTACAGGTCACAAAGTTTCAATTCTCACAACTAGACAAATTTAGTGGTGTTCATTCTACCAACATACCTGATTATCACCAGATTTTGTATTAACAAACACCAGCAGTGGACTGGTGCCCGGCGGCCTCATGGCCTCCCAGTAACCATCCGAGTCAATGTTGTCAATGGATGTAGGAGGTAAGATAGAGACACGACACTGAGAAAATGGACATTTCTTTGGTAACTGATCTCTGCATGTGGAATGTACCTACAAAAATATATACACACATTATTTATTATTTATACATTATGTAACTTGAGTAATATACTACTGCGAATTCACTTATATTCGTGGGCATGAAATTTCATGGTTTATCAAAACGAGAATTTTCGTGGGTTCTTAAATTCGTGGATTTTCAATTTCTTATAAAAAAAATAAAATAAATAACCTAATGCAAAGTAATCTTACACTTAATTGCTGCGCATTTTACTTACCACATGTACATATTTTTATGAATCACACAGCGCTTGTCAATAAATTCAATCCTTGCACAAAAATCGGCAGAAAAGCGCCGATGCATCTTTGTAATATATAGAATAGAGACATGGCAAGAAGTATTTGTTGGAATAAAATTTTGTCAGATCTTAAATTCGTTGATTGACCTACCCACGAAAACCACGAAAATCCGTGCCCCACGAATAATAATGATTTTACAGTATCAAAATTTCAAAATTTGTAAAAACATCCTGCTTTTCATAACTGGAGAGAACTTAAGTTGCCAATGTCATTTAACATATATAAAAGGCATTTGTGGTGTAAAAGAAGAACTACTGCATGTTCTGCATTGAGGTACCAGTGTTGGGACAGCTTGAAGATCAAAGCACTGCATGTGCCCCCTACTATCCCTCAAAACTCCCGAGGGTGAGGGCCAAGATTACTAGTGAAATACTGACAAGTTTATCTACAAAAAATATGCACCTATTCAATAATAGTAGTCTTGTAACTGTAATTAAGTTTAAGAAGTCAAACATCCCAAGTTACTTACAGTAGTTTTGCACCATAGACATCGCCAATCTTGTAATTTTCGGACACTTCCACAAATTTTATCACATACAGCACATCTTGAACTAACATTGAGGTTACCCTCTAACCACTGATGGGGCATAGCAATCTGTAATACATAATTATCATTGAAAATCATAGTTTTTATTTAGTTTTAAGTCATACAGACATAACTAAAATTAACATAGAAATTTTCTGATATTAAATGTGGTGGCAGCCCACATGTTCCTCTCGATGTAAATGTATGATTTCACCAATATATGTTCAAGTTAAAAGAGTAATACATGTCAACACCAGGTCAGGTTTAAAATATTTTATTCAAGTAAACTAGTTTCGGTCAATACTTGACCTTCATCAGGACAAATTAATTCTAAAATTTCTGCTACTGAATAACAGGTACAATTTAGAACGTTTAATACTAAAATTAAATCAAGTAATGTATAATTTCAGTCCTAAAAACATGGTAGCCAGGGTTCTCAACTCACCATTTTGCCTATACAGGTATAAACCATTGAAATTTGCTTTTTGTAAAATACAATATGGTATCATCAATAACATTGACTATTGTCACTTTTTAGTGAATGTGCACAAAAAAATGCCTGAGCTTTCCCCTATAAATGAAAATGATGTAAACATCCCCCCCCCCCCCCCACCAGGTACTCTTCCCTAAAACGGAGAAAGCTCTGGTTGCCCACAAAGTCAAAGGCAAATTATTGAAAGCCAGCATCTTAAGTAATAAGTCAATTACAAAGATCATATAAAGTCTGTCAGTCATTTCTTAAATAACTAGAAATGTGTCCATAGGACACGGATGCCCCCACACGCCACTGTTCTGTCAATCTTATGACTCTAGGTCAAATTTTTTTTGACTACATGTGCCACAAGTTGAAAACTAAAAATCAACAAAGGGCCATAATTCTGTTAAATTTGGTTGCAGCAAAAATTCCTTCCTTTACTACCATCTACACATTAAGGTTGTTCATCCCTGTAAGTTTAAGCAAAATCTGCCATCCAGTTTAAGAGGAGTTGCGTTCACAAAATTTCTACATGGTATCTAGTGAAAAAATCAACAAAGGGCCATAATTCTGTTAAATTTGGTCGCAGCGAAAATTCCTTCCTTTACTACCATCTACACATTAAGGTTGTTCATCCCTGTAAGTTTAAGCAAAATCTGCCATCCGGTTTAAGAGGAGTTGCGTTCACAAGATTTCGGGACGTACGGACGGACTGACGGACGGACATCCGGCCGAAATGGAATAAGGGGCCATTTCTTTTGTTATTTTCTATTGTTTAATAGAGGGCCAATGGCCCCTTACTCTATTGTTACGGAATGAACTCTATTGTTCTCTTTTGTTCTGTTTACAGTTAGATGGCCCCCTATCCCTATTCGGTAGTGCGGACTGACGGACGGACGGACAAGTGCAACGCTATATGCTCCCACATTGTGGGGGCATAAAAATCTTCTAGCAAACAATAATTTGATTTTTCTTGCATTAAAAGCCTCAGTTAAATTGACATATAATGCCAATCCAATGGTATATAGTGAGTGAACTAGTGATACTCAAAATAAGTTTACATTGTCCAGTAACTCCTTTTTCAATTTTATAGTTTCCTTAACATGAATGATAAATTACTCATGTGACCAAAGGAAATTTCTATCAGAATTAACCTGTATCAGAACCTGTATAATTTGTTTAATAAAAAGAGTGCGGCAGTCTTGTTATATTTTAAGCAGATTTATATTTTATCCCAAACATGTTTTTGTTGGTCAATTACCATTGAACAGTCAATCTTGTGAGATATATTGTCAATTCACCTTCTTGACAATAAAAAACTGAGCATATTGTCACTTTAAACATAACTGTAAACGACTTGTTGACATCAACAGAACAGACTTTACAATCTTACCCCATCTTCATCTTCTATAATTTCGGATCCTATAGCTGCCAGAGTCGTCCACTTACAGTTAGACTGTGCCTTCACTGCACATCGCTTATGTGCCTTAAATTTACATACTGAAATAACATACAAATTACATCACAATTACAGTGTACATATATATATATACTTATTGTGAAATGAAAATCTCCTTATGATATTTCAGTCTAAAGTGTTTTTTGTTTAATTTGCATAAATGCCACTTTAGCATATAAATTCAGCAATGGGAAAACTGAATATTTCGACTTAAAGGAACTCCACTGAGCTTAAAAAAGGGCCAAAAAAACATAAAATTAAAATTTTTAAAAATATCATTTGAACACATAAAACGGGAAAAGATATCCCAAAAGAAAAATTTGAGAAAATTACTCAAAAAAAAAATTTGGGAAATTTTTTCCCTTTTAAACCCAAATTTTTAGCATTCAATTTTTTAGTAAATTTTTTCGATGTGAAAATTTTAATTATTATATAAAAAAAAAATTCTGTCTCCTCATGACATAAAAAAAAACCTCAGTAAAGTCGAAGTGAAAAATGATCATAAAGGAGACTGTTACTCATAGAGCTATTTGTATTATTTCAGGCATGAGCTGGCACCTGTGTTGAACCACTGACCTGTAAGCTAGCCAGCATAAGCTACCTCGCATTTAGAATCAAAACCTTTCAAAAAGGATAAGAAACCAAACCAGTGAGGGGCAAGTAAGTTTTGTATGTTATTAGTATATCAAAACACAAGCACCTTCACATGATTTTCTAATGATGATAAACAAATCACCAGCTGTCCGTAAGACAACACACTTTGCTATTCTCAATCAACAGTAAGACAAGAGGGCCATGATGGCCCTGAGGTCGCTCACCTGTATATAGGCCCGGAGCGGGGCGAGTTTATACCCCAGGGCTTTTATTTGAACAAACTTTTGAAGGACACCCATTAGAAAATGTTTCATGATTTAAGTTTCTACTACACACATATAATGAAAAAAACAATGACCCCCCCTTTGGCAGGGCCAATTTTAACCCAAGGGCTTTTATTTGAACAAACTTGGTAGACACCCACATAAAGATGTTTCCTGCTTAACAATCTAACCTCTAGCTCATTGGGTTTTTTAAAAGAAGATTTTTTAAGTTTTTACTATACACATATAAAGAAAATCAATGACCCCCGGGATGGGGCCAATTTTAACCCCAGGGCTTTTATTTGAACAAACTTTGTAAACACTCACTAGAAGATGTTTCATACTTAATATCTAAACTCTAGCTATTTGAGTTATTTCAAAGAAGATTTTTAAGTTTTTGCTATACACATATAAGGAAAATCAATGACCCCCGGGGCGGGGCCAATTTTGACCCCAGGGCTTTTATTTGAACAAACTTTGTAGACACCCATTAGAAGATGTTTCATGCTAAATATCTTAGCTCTAGCACTTTGGGTTCTTTAAGAGAAGATTTTTTAAGTTTTTACTATATGCATTTAGGGAAAATCATTGACCCCCGGGCGGGCCAATTTTGACCCCATGGCTTTTATTTGAACAAACTTGGTAGAAACTTATTAGAAAATGTTTCATGCAAAATATCTTAGCTCTAGCTCTATGTGCTCTTTAAAAGAAGATTTTTTAAGTTTTTACTACATGCATATAGGGAAAATCAATGACCCCCTGGGGCGGGGCCAATATTGACCCCAGGGCTTTTATTTGAACAAACTTGGTAGACACTCACTAGAAGATGTTTCATGCCAAATATCTAAGCTCTAGCTCTTTTGGTTATTTAAACGAAGATATTTAAAGTTTTTTCTTTCGGTTGCCATGGCAACCAGAGTTCTGCATGGAATTAAATTCTTTGAACATTTTTTAAAGGTGACCACCAAAGGAACATTCCTGTGAAGTTTGGATGAAATTGGCTTAGTGGTATATGAGGAGATGTCATTTAAAGTAAAAGTTTACGGACGGACGGACGACGGACGGACGCCGGACGAAAAGCGATCACAAAAACTCACCCTGTCACTTTGTGACAGGTGAGCTAAAAGGGGCAAAAACTCTGCCCATTATGTTAGATAATCATAGAGTTTGAAGTGTGTGAAGTTTCAACCCATTCCCTCCTGCAGTTTTGGAGATATACCAACTTGGATCCAGAACTTTAACCAAATTGTGATACTGATGCGGACACTTGGACGAGTACGATAGCTTTCCCCATTCTTCAAATAGTCATGCTAACAATGATAAAATCTCTTACCTTCGCATGAAAGACCATGTGACGTGACACCGGAGAGAGCTTCTCTACACACATTACAGTAAGTAGGTCGAGCATGAGAACACGTGTACCAGTTATGTAGTCCTGACATCATCTCTCGCTGTGTATCATTGCCCTGTATACAACAAAAGACCGAAATCTAAAATCAAGACCAAGAAATGCTTTTATCACATTATTTTGCTTGATAATAACATGGACAGTTACAATATCAAACGTAACAAATTAAGCAAGATGATGATTGTATTCTGCTTTTTAATCCTTTTATTAAACTTTTAACTCTTATGTTCAGTTTGGCTTCATTTGAAATACTAATATGAAATAACACTTGAAAAACATAAAAAATTCATGAGGAAATATGGTCTTGACTGCATTGAGCTCAAACCCACGATCCCTGGTTTGAGAAATGCCACTACACCACTTTTCTCTTAATTAATTCCATTCCCTATACTGACACATCAAAGATCAAGGTGCTCCTTTCCACGAACATCCTTAAGTTTCATAAAATATATTCATCAATTTTAACAATGATAAAATTAGATACATTTTTCAAGTTAAAAAGAAAAAGTCACAATTTTAAAACATAAGATTTGATGAACTATTATAAAGCAATGTATCTTTCATTAAGTTATTCACACCTGAGGGGTCAATACCACTATCACAGCATTAATCCATATATATATAGAAGTTCTTCAAAATATTTCCTCTCAAATTTTTATAAAAGTTACAATATTCAACAATGTACAAATGTAAATATCCTGACATAAGTACATACCCATAAACTAACAGTAGCTGATATAATATCCTTCAAAAACACCAACAAAGCAAAAGCTTAGAGTAAGAAAGTCCAAGATTAAATTGTTTACCATTAAAACTGTAAAAACATGGAAACAATTTGAGGAAAATATGAGGCACTGCTCTTTCTATAACCTGTTAGCAATTAGCATCAAGTGCACAGGTCCAGTATGCACTCATTAGATCTTGTAAACAAAGAATCTCACTGATGAGGAAGCCAGATAATTGACAGTTATACCAATATGATAACTGACCACAGGTGGCTTTAACCTTTTACTGTGAGAGGTCAACAGCAGATCAGCACTCACCTGGAATATCTCATCATTTTACCTGCTAAATTTCCTGAATTGACCTGTTCGAAACAGTTATGTTCGTTTTAGACAACAATTTAAGCTCATTTTATCATTTCAGACAACAGTTTATGCTCATTTTAGACAAAGATTTATACTCATTTTAGACAACAGTTTATGCTCATTTTGGACAACAATTTGTGCTCCTTTTAGACACAATTTATGTTCATTTAGACAACAGTTTATGCTCATTTTAGACAACAGTTTTTGCTAATTTTTGACAACAATTTATGCTCTTTTTAGACAACACTTTATGCTCATTTTAGACATTTAGACACAGTTTATGCTCATTTCAGACAAAAGTTCATGTTGATTTTAGACAACAATTTATGCTCATTTTAGACAACTGTTTATGCACATTTTAGACAACAATAAATGCTCATAATCATTTTAGACAAAAGTTTATGCTTATTTCAGACGACACAGTTTATGCTCATCTCAGACAATAGTTTATGCTTTTTTAGATATCAGTTTATGCTCATTTTAGGCATATCATAATGAACAATTTACATCTGGTCTGTCTAAAGTT